GACTACTGTTCGCGTCAGCACCAATGCATCTCTCAGTTGAATTATTTATTGAGAGAAGGGTTACCACCTTCATTCCTCAAGGTTAATGCGTTACTCTATCATTGCATGCAGAAAATTTTTAAGCACATTGGTATTTCTTCCCATGTCAAATCAGTCTTTTAATTGTAATGTGAGTCGTGAGGAAACACTACGCTTGACACACTGCAACTGTGAAATAGTAGTAGTGCACGTCGATTTTGGTCTTCCACATCGACTTAAAATGCACTGGTAGATTAATAGAAAACTTGAGTTTGAGTTAAAAGATACCGTCACTTTTTCCTCAACCTTTCGATTCTTCAACATCAGAATATGACTTATCCATTTCATCTGAGTTTTGACTGCTCAAGCGTGATTTTGTGTTATTGCGTTTTATCAGCGCACTCTTAAAGCCGACATCAATTTTGCCTCGTCAGTGTTTTATCTTGTCCAAAGGAAACTTGGTAGCAGTCAATGATTTGCTACCCCACTCAGTAAAACCATCTCATCGACATAAGCGCATTGGTATGCACAACTTGCTGGAAGCCAAAAAAATCGTCACTACAGTTTGCAAGCCACCTTGGCGCAATATTCGTTCCGAATTTTTCCCACCCATGGTATGGGGTTGTGCAGACATGGCGTGAAATAATGATGTGTATCAATATACACATCCTTCTTACAGGTTTATTAAAAATGCCTCACAATCTTGCAGTTGAATAGCAGTTAAGCGTAGATGTGTTCCTATTTTTAGCAAAACTGCGTAATTACGAATGATGCGTCTGTCCCACTTTTTTCAACTATGCTTCTGCCATTGATTCTCTTGCCTTTTGCGTGCCAAGCCATATACTTTGTCATATAAATGCCGCACAACCGGTTTAAAGTATTTATGGCTTTTAGTACCGCTTGTGCTGCATTCATGTGGGAAATGCTTTTCTCACGGGTGTGTCGGACAACGCATCATTTAATACTTCAAGTAAAGCTGAATGTCTTCTATTAGGAGGGCATCATTCTATTTCAGCTTATGAAACTTCCAGCCGAATTTGTATTATTGTCAATTTCCATCATTTTTAACGAAATAGAACTCTTATTTGATTCATGCACGAGATTAACCGTTTAGATTTTTAACCAGTAGCACTTTTGACAGCATTTACCCTATTACAGTGGAAGATGTGGCAGTACGAAACAGGAAGAATTAGGACTCTGTAGATTTGCGTGATACCTGAATTCCGGACAAGCATGCGTGCACGGCACTTGCTGGCTGACAGGTTTACTTCGTCTACGTGGTTTCGATGATCCTGTCAACCAAAACACGTACGTCAAAGGCACAAGAGGGGAGTGTACCTCCCTAAAGAACACTTGAATGAATAGAAGTAATTCGGCGCAAATCAACGGCTCCCTTCACTTAATCGACTGCATTTATCATCAACGCCCACTATTATGGTTGTTTCTAACCCTCTTTAGTACATGTGCAATCAATTTGCTATAAAATAATGTGTTGATTTCTATTATTCCTATTTTGGAATGCTTAATCCCTCCTTACAGGCTGCAAATGGCATTAATGCTCTATTGTCGACTCCTTTTTATAATGCGTGTCTACATCAGGTATTTACATGCACGAAAATCTTGCATCCAAATACAGATTTTCATCGGCAAGCGTTTGCACTGTGTTTCATTCATATCATTCATCCATGAAATTGGCATAAATTTTAATAAAGGCATGCAAGCATCACCGTTCAAACTGGCTGCCTACGTTTGGTGTGGAGTTTTTTTGAGCATTTTGTTGTTTCGAAACTGTTGATCTAAACGTAGCCACACAGCTCTCATGCACCTCACAGTGGGTTGAATTGCCTTCGAAGGTTGCTGCAATGAGGACAAAATCGCATACTGCTGCTCCAAACCTGAAGTCAAGGTGGTAAAGCTATGGCCTGCCATTGCAAAATACTTACCATTCTCCCATTATGTTAAAAGTAGAGATTTCACTCTGCCAGTACCACTTGCATTCGCTATATATATATTTATTTATTTATTTATTAACACTAACCTGCCATCAGGGTCCGCTTACATTGAATAACCACTTTTATTCAATTTGCAATTTTGATTCAGACTAGCCATTGCAAAAAAATATTTAAATGGTGCCATATGCGCCTCCTTGTATAGTGCCGACAACCAGTGTCCTTGCGGACAACGCACTCAACCGGTTTTGTGTGTGAATTGGCTGAGTTTAGTAAAACTGCAACCATTTTGAGTGGAGTGAATGTTTAACAAGCCACTCTTCAGACTGATATTGCAGATCCTCCACACTCTCGTTTTTTGACATTTCCTTTGCCTCCCACAAATGGTATGCCTGCGAACGCCAACTCCCTCAAACCAGTGCCTTACATCCACTCATCATTTCGCTATGCAGTTCAGTAACATTTCAAAATTCATTTTTTTTATGCAGTAGGGCTAAAACGCATTGAAAGAAAACAATGTTGCTCAAGGACTGTGCCTCTCCCTATACCAAGTTATATCCGATTCGATTTGTTAGGGACTTTTGGGAGCACACTTCTATGCCTACCTCCGATCACAAATGCATACAAGAACAAGAAGTTTTCTGTTGGGTACAGATCTTTAAGCTTGAATGTGCAAAAACTCTTATGCGCACTAATAGTCCACTCTCTGAGTTTGATAATGCTTTTCAAAACGTTGCATAATTATTTCAGCAGGTAGGGACGCTTTTTTATTGTTATTAGTTTTTTCTGGCACAAACTATATTGCTGTAAAGGTGCTCAAACTTTTAAGGTTTTATGAAGGGTAAAGGACTGCCGCCTCCTATGCTCTACACCTAGAACAGTTTAGCTTCAGCGTAACTTGTATAAGGTCTTATGCTCTACCTCACTTCTGTAATGTTTATTACGTCCAAAGGAACTCGTGCAAGAACCACCGAAATTCTGCTGTATCCGGCCTCAGACCTTTCGATTGCAGTACCAAATGCGCTAGACCTATTCTTCAATTTACTCACCAAGTCACGTGTTGAAATTGTGCACGTATGCTTGTGTTTGAGTAAGAAGTCTTCATAATTGACAAGAAAATACGGCTTAACATCTTTCACTGTTTATCTTAAACTCGATTGTGCGTTATTAATTGCATGGCTTTTCTGATAAGCATTAGTGAACATGAAAGGTTAAATCCATCCGCAGTCCGTCAAAGCGCATGCTTTTTATGATGGTCCATTCCCTATTAGTCTTAAAGCGACTCTTAATCGCTGTTAATAAAACCTTAGTTGGTGAAACGCCTCCATTCAAAGTGGTAAGCAGTTCTATGAGTATTCGTCAAATGTTTGGCGATTCGCCAATCGGACGGGGTTGAGATGGCTAGGATAAAAGCAAGTCCTCTCCAAATACACTAGGTGGAGTTTTCTTTTTCCTTTATCCATCAGATATTATACAGAATAAGTAGCGCACTAGCTACTGGTTGACCTTGTAAAGTGAAATAATGGATTGATCACAATTAGAGCTTCTATCCCTGCCCAAATCTTGGCTTATTATCACCAAGACAAACTCATTTGTTACTAGATTGTAAACGTCTTGGGTGTGATAATTGTGTAACATTTCAATGTCCTTATTCTTTAAATATCTTCATTTTTTAAACCCAAGCTACTACTCCGACTATTGACCTTTATTGTCCCTTAAGTCATAATTAGACGAGGTGGGAGACTGACACTGGATGAAACAAGCCATATCCATTGGTGGCCTGATTTCGGGTTGCAACCACACCCCAGCTACATATGGCAGCCGCCACTACTGCCTTCGGTGAATCCGGTTGGGGAGTGAAGAAAAGGTGGCGATGTCAGGGGCTGAACTAAGGGGCAGGACGAAGGGGCTGGAATCCAATTTCACCTTACTCGAAGGACATCACTTCAGAGGGGTTATCTTACATTTGTATGAGGTAGAAACGGATGTTTAAGTGCTGATTTTTCTGCCATCTACCTTTCAATCTTCTCTGCAAATCAATGACCATGGTCTGATTTAGCAACTTGATCAGCATCAGTAACAGGATTAGCATTCCAAAGCTCCTTTACTTTGCTCTTTTCGTATCCGCTTTGAATAGACCGATGTTTCTACGCGGTAGAAATCAATTGCATCAAAAAAATTAGAAATCAATTTTGACCACAAGTGACGAAATTGAAAAGGCAATGCGGGGGGTCAGTGAATTCGGCAAGTGTTGCCTTGGCGTCTAAGTGATTCACTATTGCACACTTGTCAATGGACGAATGATGCCAAAAGCGGTCTGATGCCCTTCACCAGCATGCACATTGCCAATTGGTTGACTCTTTTGCTATACCATACCATTTAATGACTATTAGGGGGTTGAGTATAAAACATTCATGAATTCATTCTGCTATTTATAGTCCGCACGGATATTCACAATCACTGCCTGTGGAAGAGAATGTATTCGGGCATTGTTGCTCCTAGGTTTGGCAGCATCCTCTCCATCTATAGCGAATGAAAAGAGCATGTCATTAGATAGAGGGTGCACCTTTAACTTCAAAGGTCTACCCCCTTCACATTCTCCACACATTTCGATGCTTTTAGCAGACATTAAATAGCACAAGATTTAACTCAAGTGCTTCTCGTCTCAAGTGTAGAATTGCTTCATATGGATGAATTCGTAAGCTAATCTGTAGGAGCTTTGTGAGCTATTACAACTGCACAAACTTTTCCAAAACCTACGAGAGGTGGGATTGAAATCTTCTCAATTCCCTTTTCGAAGGTGCAAGAATGTCCTTTAGTCACATGTATAATTTGTTTTATGATTTCTAAAATATTCCCTCGGGATGCAAGTTGGTAGAAAGGACGAACAAGAGAACCCAATGTGTCTTATTTATTAGCCTCTATAATCAGGCAACATTTGGTAAATTTTACTCGACCACAAATCCCGGCATTGCTTTGTCGAGTACTTTTGGAAGTTGGCTAGCATATTCATAGGAGTAAGTGTATATTCTGTTAGACGTTCCTGTTAGAAACCGTGTCATGTAATTCCTTGATTAGGTTGACTTTACTGAGATTGAAAGAGGGATAGTTGGGCTGCAATAGGTAGAGAGGCACAGCTGTGCCGCCGTTATGTTCGGACACGCGGTCATCGTAAAAACTGACTGCACAGGTAGTGGTGACGTCATTTAGACGTTCGGCCATTCGACGAGCTTTATGCACGGATTGGCCCCAGCAGTAGCCAGATGCTGAGTGAATGCATTCGCCACCGTTGTTGTTGCAGCAAACATCGTGTCTCAGTGTAGTCAACATCTCATAAGTTGGAAAAAAAGTTGTGCTTTGCTAATCCTTCCCGTTTATATCCCTTTACTTTACTTAATCAGTAATACCTCATCAAAAACGTGATGATTGGTGGTACTTGGTGCTCATTTCAAGAGTTGAGCAGCTAAAGGTCAGCATTATAAAAGCAAGGTTGTAGTGTTTAACTTCAACATGTGTAACTGCTACATTCACACCTTAATGGTAGCAAATGGTAGCCTCGCGATCGAGCCCATTCATTATTTGTCTTCTAACGAAGCACTTTGGCAGTCAGCAAGCTATGCTACAGCGACTCTGTCCAAAGCCTAGGTGTTTCCATGCTGCTTACAACCTTTTGTCCATCCCTCCATCACGCGTATTCCCTGAGCATTTTGACACCTCTATCGCGACACTCCTGTTGGAAGTTACCAATAAAGCTCACTTCGATTAGTAGTTCTTTCAGCGCCCTCTGTATTTGAAGATAATAGGTCCTAGTAATGCTATCGCGATAGTTCTCACTGAAGTTTTTAAACTCATCGCCATTTAAAAGGAGAATCAACGTTCTCAATCTCGGATGTCATATAAAATTTGCATAAGTAGCAACGCATTTTAATTAGGAGTGGGCTTTTCCAGCCTACTCAATAATAATAGCGTTGAGTTTCCGACGGGTAAGTGAAAAATTTGATAAAAACAATTTTTCATATTTGTATGTTTTTGACTTTGTTGGTATCGGTTATATGAACTGTCCGAATAGCGTCTGGAAGTGCTTGTGTGAATATTTAACTAAGTTGAGGAATTTTACCGGTTTAGATTAGTCTCTCCATGGGAAGAACAGTACGACGTGCCAGACTGTGTGAGTCAGCAAAGCTAACCACTTAATCAACTAGGCTATTAATTATTTAAACTGTTTTCATTATCTTCGGACTGTATTTCTATCATAATTGAGCGATGGCAACTATCCGTACACCAACAATGCAAAAGATGGAGTGGTGCATGTAGGCGTTGCCATTGGTCTAGCGACTGGCGTGAAACACTAGCCTGTTCTCGCCGAGGCGCGATCCCACCCGCTCAACTCCACACAGTACCCATAGCTGATTACCGAGTTTGAAATCCGTGTCTTCGTTTTAAAAGTGGACGTGATTAAGCAGCACTTTGTGCTTTAGCACTATTCATAGTAAAAACCAATTGGTGAAAAGTATTCACCGAAAAAATTGTTCCCTTACGCTAACACTTTGTAAAAGGAATGCGCTTTAAAGTGGAAAATTAATAAAACTGATGCCTCCCCATTCACATTAACACAATGTGATCCCACACTAGCTCAACTTTTCTCATCATCTATTTAAAATAATCTGACTGGTTTAATGCCGCATAACGTTAAGTATGTGTTTCACGTATGCCAGTCCCCCAAGCATGACCTGCTTCTGGGCAGGCAGAAGAGCCCTTTGGTGCCAGTGCTCAAGTAATCTAAGCAATGCACCTGAAGGTCTCGCAGGTCGCAGATAATTGGTGCAGCACCTGTAGCCGCTGATTACAGTTGCAGCAATAACGACTTCGGTTATTTTGAGGTTGTTAGAACAAGCTTCGGCATTCTTTCAAGCTCTCTTTACCACAAACATTCGCAATGGTTAAATCATACATTAATTTTCCTGTAGACGCATGATGATTATAAAGAAATACCTTTACAGACATTGCATTTAGCTGTGTCTGTAAATTAAAATTTGACAAAACATGCATGTTTTCTCAATAAGTATTACCAGTAAGTGTAGAACCACTTAACTGCACACACCTCTCATCATTGCACATCAAATGGTTTTGAGACGTTTCGTGATCCATGCCTATTTTTAACTAGGCTCCAGAAGTGGTTCTGTACTTTACCCCTTGATGTCTGTCCTAGTCTACTTTTGCCGTGTTCACTCAACTAATCCGGAGTAGGAGATGTTTAACCAAAAGGTAGTCCATTTAAGGAAGAAATGGTGGTTTGCCTTGAAATGTTTAGTTAAAATCTGGTTTTTTGTTTAAAAACCAAATGAAGTAGTAGTTTAGTATGCCCTACTTATGTTTCTACCGGTTTATTTCCTAAACTTCAAATTTGACACGTTTAAATGTCAAATGTAATCTAAGTTTGTATTAATAATGCATACAGTCTCCAACTTGTTTGATCTTAATTCGATCATTTTATGCCATCGTAATGAGGAGATTTTTTAATCGAAGCTTACAGTACTCTGCGATATCATTCCATTCCCGTAATTACCTCCGAGACTATTATGTTAACAGACTTCAGGGACTGTAGTCTAAACTTCATCACACACTCCTTTAAAAAATATGGAAGGAAAATCGTGCAATTTATCGATGCAGTATCGTGCTTTTCCTTCCTGCTCGCTCACTCAATTTTGAGGTTGAACTCCCGTTTTGAAGATAAAGTTGACTGCAGCCTGTCCAGTTGCAGGCCGATTTGTTTCATGCATCGAGTGCTTAAACGTTATTTGCTTTTGCACAATTTGAGTTACCCTGAGTTGTGGAAAGCTGTGAGCCTTCTCACAGTGGGTGGAGCTGATCGTCGCAGGTACTTCCAACACTGACATCGTAAGGTGGCAAGACTGGGCACTCAAGTGTGTACGTCCAAGCGCGTGAGGATGCAACAACGGCCTAACGCCGCCTTTCCTTTACTGGCCTTGATATTTCTGCTCCTGCTGATGCTGACTTTGACGCTGCTACTGCAACCGAGCCTGATTTATGGTGTGTACGGGCTGGCAGTACGCACGCCTGTGCGTGGATCGGGCAACGAGATGCGCTGCTTCGATGCGCTTGTGCATGCGCGCCAACGCGCACCCACTGCGAAGTGAATGGGATAGATTTGAGGTACTTCATTTTCACACTGTCTTTGGTCAACAAAAGATCTGCCTGTCATACATTCACACAGGACCTATGCGGCTCTATTGGCAGTAGTAGCTTTTAATAAAGTGAGCTTTAGGTCTTTTAATGAGGCATCATCTTAATTTAATCTTATCAAAAAAATCCCAAAGGCCATAACACTCCTCAATTAGCACAATGATCGCTGCCAAATCGCCTTAGTAATTAAAGTTCTACCCCAGAAACAACTTAAGGCTTTGATCAGGCGATAGCAATACTGTTGAGATGTTCATAAATAGCCTGACCTGTTGGCCTTGTCCGACCGAGGTCCGAGGCAGAGCTGGCAATAATGCCTCAATTTTAGTAAGTATCTCCATTGCCCCGGGTTCCAGCGCTCACCTTCCGTCAAGTTGGATGTACTCAAATCAAGTCATGGTGGCCGTGTTCTCTCCTCAGGTCCCTCGTAAATGGATTCACATCCTTTATCGATCAGAGGATGTGATTGGCACAAAAACAGCTTAGTTCATCATTCATCTCCTGTCTGGGTTGTGTGTAAGTAAAAAAACGAGGCTACTCTTAATTCATCAGTTTGGTCAAATTAGTAAGAAGAAAAATCAATGGCATTAGTATTAGTATCTCAGAGTTATCGAAAGCGTGTCCGTTTGGTTGAATATGTAGGCTTAAATACCTGCCTTTGTCGCAAAAATAAATGAGACGAGGGACATGGGTTTGATATATAGGTGCCAGTGTTCTCCGATTGAAGCCGTCCATTATGGTGAATGTATGAGTTTACGAATGAGGTGATGTAACTAGCCGAAACCTCAGTCTGAAATTGAGGCCACCAATCAATATTAGAAGCCACACTCCCCTAGTTTCGTGAGAAAGTTGACATTGTCAACTTAAGGGAGCACCTCGGCGCCTCGCAGTGATCAATAAACATCCCTTCATGCAAAGACGAATCGCGGACAGCCCTGAAGAATTTCTCACCTTGGATGAATGCATGTCTCCATCATCTGAACCTAAAATGAAGAATTTTACAAAAGCAACGTGTTGAGGAAATTCCCTGGTATTTAAACCATTATAATCACCTGATGCTCATCAAGTTTGATAAAATATCCCTTACAAGTCTCATCATGTAGAACGTTTGAAGTGCGCAAGGTCTTTCATCCTGGTTACTGTACGCCATTATCTTAACAAATAGTTAGCCGAACTAATTTTGCACGTCAGTTTAGTCGGTTTTTATAAGAAACATCATTCAGCATTGCAACTATTTGTAATCGTTGACTGGGATCTTGTTTTCTTTAGCTTTATCATGGCCTAAACGGCGTTACCATTTAAGACATGCATACACGGCTGCTGTATTTTAAAGTTGACTAGCTCTTACTCTTACTTTAAATTTCAACAAAATCATCCTAATGTACGAAATAGAGGAATGGGCTACACCTAACAATGGCAGAGGAATGGAGTGTGGAACGGGGTACGTATAAATCGGTCACTGTATATACCTTTACAGCCGTCTTAATGCCTCTGGGGCTCTCAACAACTACATGCGCTAAAAGGTAAACCCATCTGCGACCCTTATTGTCCTACTACTTGCTCCCTCGCATCTGTCTCGATCGTTTCACTGCTTCGAAAACTATCGTACTTATACTTTTGTCAATTCCACCATTGAATTTAAATGTTCGCGAAAGAAAGCGGATTCTTAATCTCACCATAAATGAACAATCTTGTTGCTCGCTTGAGTAAGACACGCGGAATGCGGAAGTGCTCACTTACTGGTTTCAGGATTTCCCAAATGAATGATCCATTTTATTGTAGTAACAAGACGGACTTCTCCATTTATTTTATCACATTGCGAAAACATTATGGTTAACGTCACTAATTTTCTCTAGTCACCCGCATGGGAACCCAGTCATGTGAGTATGATGGTGGCTCTAAAGAAGAATAGATTGCTTCCAGCCTCAGAGGCGAGCATTTATAGGGTTGCGTTAAGATATGCGCTAAGAATAAGAATTTCCGCATCCCGGACCGTTGGGTTTTTACGAGTCTTATGTTTAATGCGGGGTTCCGGATACAGTGGGCGGGCCATTGAGATTTCAAAGTATGTGACTCAGAGATAGTTGTCCTGACAAATGCTTCTACCTACTATGGGTATGCTCTCGCAATTCACTCTTACCCTGAGGTAGTCGCTCTCGCCTTTTAATCTGGGGATTTTTTCATGCATTTAATAACGGCATGATGTTTGTTCATTCTATCGACTGATCAGGCAAGCTTGCTTTTCATACCGCTTCGGGTCAGTTTTATCCGACAAAAAGAAGTGTTTTGGCAAATCTCAATTTCATTAATGCATAAGTGTTATTGGTCATCGAATATCTTCATAGATTTTCCCTCACCCTTGGCATTATTACATCCTGGTCGCATTATTATAGTCCTGAATGTTTGCGTTGTTTGCGTAGTTCGGGTGTGCTATTTTCCACCTCTCCATACGTCATTACCTACTCAACTTTCTAAAAAAATTCAATTCAGACAATTCAACACTGTATGAACGCGATTCACTTCCTTGCTGGTCATTGTCGCAAATGATAGTGTCCAACGCAGATGACTCTACTTTGCCTACTGTATTCGAGTTTGTAACTGACACTACAAACTGTCCCAAGGGGAAGTGCACTTTTGTAAAAAGCGTCAAGTAACACTACTGAATAATTGTTTATCTGCTGACAAAACAGGACAGTTTAAAGATTTCGGGGAATTATTACAGAGGAGCCTCAAAGCAGTTGAAGTGAATGCCAGAAAGTGGTAAAATCTCCTGCAATGAGCACGCATCATGTGCAGATAACTGTCATTTCAATCAAAACTGCTGAATTTATCCCTTAATATGATTTTTAAAGTTGGCCGTGTTTAGGTGGCCCAGTCAACTTCTTAAGAGGTTGATTTAATTTAATGGGCGTTTGCATTAGGCAACACGGAATACCAAGGCGAAATATCGTCACTGACTCGAAAATCCCCTTCATCCAAATTCCACCTAACATCATCACAAGAAACGGCAGTATTAAACAACAATTATCCACCCTTATGCCCCTTGAACTGTTTTCAATCAAGTTTGTAATTTTTCACAACAGATTCTAGTCCGACTATGGATTTAGATGCTTCAAGCGGTGAAAACGTTAATGGATAGGGCCGAGAATGATTGTGTGGCCTAGTGCAGAGGTCGTTCCTTCTTCCCATGCGTCATCTGATCTTCTTTTATGGATAAAACTCGAAACGCCAAGTAAACACATAAAGGGTGACAAATTAACTTCAATATATTAAACTAATTTCATTGTTTTGCATTCCCAAATCGACTGAATTGTTATAGGCTAGTACCTCCTTTGGCAAGTTTATCTGGATCGGTTTTGCTAATCAGTGTTTTTTGGGGCAAAGTAACTGCACGCGGCACCTATAAATGCATGACATTAGTACTTCTCTTTCTTCATTCAACACTCATATTTAGCAAACACGGGCCAGTGTCAAAAGGTCTAAACCCTATTTTCATGAATGCCATTTTACGGCATTATGTACCATAGATAAACAAAAAACTCGTCTAGATATTAAATAAGTGATTCCCTTTACTCATCTGCCTACTATCACATTATAAACTTCAGTTGTAAAACTGTAGAGCTTTCCATTCTCTTAACGGAAAAGAATGTACGAATTCAACTAATTAGTGTTGGTGCAAATAAGCAAAATGATTCCAGCGTTCAATGTCAATCATTGTACTTTGACAGTGCGTATCAAAGCCAAGTGACGTCAAAATAGGCTTTTCTTCCCAAACTTTAGTACAGATTTAGGTTACCCAGTCTCCTAAACTGGAATTCATTCCTGTCCATCAGCCCTCCACCCCACTTCTTTCTTTCTCCCCCAACCTGACTACTCCTCGGACAGAGGGGGGCATGGTGGTGGTAGCCCAGATGTTATCGACCGCGCGTGCACGCGCGCATCTCACGCTTCGTCGTCTTCGTCGTCGTCATCGTCGTTGTTGTTCCGTGAATCCAGCCGGCGGCAATCCCGTGCGTATACGCACGCATGAACCTCGATGCACGCTCACATTGGTGAGACAGACACACAAATGCATATACACACCCAGGCGAGCGCACGTTCGCTTGCGGACTGACAGGCACCTTAGGGTGATGTGCGCACCACGCACGTGCGTGCGTGTATACAATCCTCTAACTCTCATATAGGCACACACACACAAGCACACACACCCAGCCACCCCTTCGTCGTTGCGCGCACACGCAAACTAAACCGTATGTACCACCGCACTGCTGCAGCAGCTCCTCATTCATAAACCGGATTTTATTTTCTATTTTCTCACCACATAACTCACCTCCGCCATTGTCACTGCTATCGCACAACAGTAACCCATCGAGACCTCGTCTAATTCTTATGATTCCCTATTGACAAAATCTGCTCTACTTGGCTGACTTTCAGATGGCTACGGAAGATGCAAAAGTGTTACCTTCGGCAGTCACTGATGCGAACATTTTCTCTATCAAAAAAAAGTGTAATCGGAGTTTCGGTGGGCATCCTCGACGTCGTGTGACTGCTAATGCCAGGAATCGTGAGCGGCAGGCGCCCATAGAAGAGTGCCATCTTAAATCCCGAGCTGGCTTCCAGCTGCCTTTGTCGGACGGCGTTTCTCAGGTCACTTTTCAGTACTATCTCGGTGAACACCAGTCGCAAATATTCTATGGAGGGTTAACAATTGGACATCCAGGTACTGGTAATATTAATGTGGAGTTGGGTCAGCCAATTCCCATTGATTTGCGCGAGAACTATAACGAGGAGGGCCTCTTTCCACTGCCCTGTTTGGCCGTACCCACCCACATTTTTCGGCGATTCCGAGTCTACCGGATTACCTCTTCAGCATCTTGTGATCTCAAGAAGCTTGCGGCTAGTCTCTCTACCGACGGTGCGTCTCCAGATGAAAGTGATGCGAGCTATCCTCCGACCGGAGAAAAGCTGTCGCTTTTATTCCCCTCAACGACACCGAAAAGTGGATTATCTCTGATCAGCCTTCGCGTCTACTACCCTGTACAGTATATGCAATCTGCAAACGAGTTGCATCCCATCCCTGGAAGCCGTAAGCGGGTCCACTTCCCCCCCGTGAGTTTGAAAGAATGCATTTAAACACTTTGTTTTTGTGAGATTAGAAAATCATAAGTCAGTCATGTTCGCATCAAAATTTAAGCAAACCATTTAAGCTATAATTCGTGGGTCATTTTGTCTATGTGCACGGGCTCGTGGCTGCCTGTCAGGTTACTTAGCCTCTCCCAGTTGGTGAGAGTGGTAAGCGGGAGGAGCGGTGACTAAGTTCCTCCCCAGTACACGAGTAACCTGTCCGTCTCTTGATTTGCATAATTATTATCAAAATGCCATCTCCCATTTCCGATATGAGCGCTTGGAGTTGATGCCGCTATCTAAAGCATAGCAGTTGTTGATCAAGGTACCCTGATTATAATCGAGATCATTCACTTTTGGCTTTGATGGCATGCATAGTATCATGATCGTATATTTCTCAAATAAACATATAAGTAGCGGCGCAACTCTTATGCTCCAGCATGCTGGCTTGATCATGCCATTTATTAGTTGCTATTGCTAGTCAGTTACTCTCTCCAGGTCTCATCATGGCTATTTCGCTCTGGTCAAGTAGGTGGATTGACGCATTTAGTATCTGGAGGATGCGACAAGCCATTAGCGGAGTTATTCCTTTGATTATTGTGAAATCCCAGTTAAGGACATATTGAGGTCAGCCGCGCACACAGTCTTACTGCAGCAGTAACACTTGCGAGTGTGTATGCGTGTTTATGTGAATGCAAATTCCTTTGGTGTCTATGCTAGCGATTATCCACAGAGTCTATACATTAAAAAAATCTATCGTAGGTGTGACCTTCGAACGTAGTTTTTTTAACTCCACTAATCACGCATGTGTGGGACGTCAGAGGTATTCAACTTTTATCAACTAAAAGACCGCAAAATATCTGTCCCTTAAATGTTTGAAAACGAGTTGTGCCTCGTTCTCAGGGCTAAAATAGCGGGCCTATACTGCGGAAAGTCATGTTAGCTTCAGGTTAGGCATTCTATGAAATGGCTTAGCTAGGTCGACTGTGGTAGAAATGCCCTATTCCGCTAAAACTTTCGACTTGTAACGACAATGGTACCTTAGTTTTGCATGCTGCATGTGGTACTGGAATGCTTTTCTCCTGTCTGTCTTACGTGATTCCTATTTAAGTCTTTTATCCAATATTTCAATCTAAAATCACCAAAGGTTATCCTTTCTTATTTCCATAACATTGGGTGATAGATCTATCGAGGTTTTTTATTCTACACCAAAAGCATGGACCCCATTCATAACATTGCCATCATCTTTGCTTCCCCTTCTGTACATCTTTCCTCCCCATTTAAATCTCTGCTACAAAGTCTGTTCATGCCCGGCGAAAGAGAGTAAAGGACCTACAGGACGATTAAAGAAGGTTCATAGAAGTGGTGCTTATGGGGAGAAGAGCAGTTGGTTTCGTACCGCTGGGAGCGTTGAGCAAACCTCAGTGCATGCGACCATGTGAAATGTACGGGTGAATTGTTTCTACTCATTTTTAATGTTCCAATGCATTATTTTTGTATCATGTTCATCAGGTAGAGATATTTAGTTCCGCTCGTATTTGGGCGCCAATGCAATTGCGCTAGTTCTTTCGTTCTTATTAGTGGTGATCACCATTCATCCTTGAGCGGTACTAACGTGGCTGATAGTCGTTCATTTTCTCACTCTCGGTCGATAAAGTGACTTGCTTTTGCCTCATGTAACATTAGTGCCGAAAATTATTTCTCTTTTTAAAAATGTCCCAGCATTTAACCATGGCTATGGTGTCAAATCTGCATTTCCATAAAATTAAATTGGCACTATCAGATATTTACGCGAGGTTGTGCGCGTGGTCAGTGGTGGTTTGTCATCGTTTGAGGACACGAAAAGTCGAATTATCGTCGCTATAATAGCATCCACCTCTCTCGAGGCTTTCCTACGTGCGTGTTGCAGCCATAATACCCTTTGGTGATCACCCCCTGCCACCTGCCCTACCCCCATCGTTTATTCACCGTTGACCAGGTCACCACTTTTACACGAACATAAGGAACATATACTCTGCCAGAATAGGTTATAATGTCTGTATCTAAGACATGCTTCAAAGTACTGGAAATGTGTCTTGTGCTGAATATTGATGGTTTTGAACTCTACTCTCTTGTGATTCCTTACCACAATTTTTGCTTATTTGAGATTCGTTCGGAGGAGGATGAACGATTGCGTAATGCAAGTGAGGCCGAGACTTACATGTGTTTGGTGCACTGTTCTCTTCTTTCGTCTTTATTAATTCCTATTGTGCTATTCGTCAATGCTGCATCATTTCCTTTTTCCGACACTTTGCACCATTAGAACTAGGTGGTTGGTTGTAATATGACTACTAAATTAATGGAATGGTGGTTAAGTCATCTTTCTGGTTGATAACCTCAGCAGTAGCGCCCACCTAAAGGGTATGGCGTGGAGGAGGAGACGTAACGTATTTTCGCACGTAGGCGCGCACCCACCCACATGCACGCACCGTGAATGAGTGCGTGCGCATACGGCGTAGGGTAGTGCCGCAAAAAGCGTCCACTGCCTTCTCTCCCCCTGCTAGGTTGTCTCTGCCTCGCTTTGAATAACGCTCTGCCGATTTGTGGGAAAATGATTTTAGCAATGAAGAGCGATGAGCCTGGTGTGACTCACTGTGTCTACCAGCCGTACTTCTAGCTTTACTTTCATGTAATCGCGAGGTATTAGGTTGCTTTACTGTTTAAATGAAGAAAAAATCTTGGACCACTTGCCCTACAGAATGATCAGACTACCGAAATTTGGGAAATGACAGCCTGTAATTATCATCCAAGTAATGGCTATGCTTATGGCTGTGGGGACTTCACCTTTATGAGCAGCCATTTATTATGAGTTTTATAGTTGACACGAGTAAAATATCGGTTTCAAATATTAAACATCTCCAACCAGATCCATTTACTACCTCAACAAGGGTTTCCTAATACGCAAGTTGGCCGCGTGTGAAATCATTGCTTTAGTCAACGCCTTGGCTTTGCCTGGAGAGCTCTACCTTGTCTCACGGATCTGTAATCGCCGCAACCAAGTTTGGCTTCATCTAACTTAGCGCGGCTTCAATTGCACTCCGCACCACCACCATAAACGACGCGCCTCGCAGTTCAAATAAAAGTGCGACATGCATGGCATAAGTGCGCGCGCACACGTGTTGCGTGCGGAGACGCGCTCTCCCGCCCTCTCGCCTTTGTCAGAATGTGCACCACGTGGATGTCTCGTGCGCTTATGCGCATCAACCTGGGTTTCTATGCTCCACTCGTAAACCTGTGAAGAAAGTTAGCAACGAGGCCACTCTACATCTCCAGGCCCAGGAAAGTACACCTTACCGTGAAACCACGTTGGCTTAGCATTTTGTCATAAAGGTCTTTTATACGGTCTTCACAGGGCATAACCAAACAACATCCAAAAGGTTCCTTCTGTTTCATTTTCGATGCTGCTCAGCTGTCATTGAAGAAAGCAGCAAGGGAATCCATTGATATTGGTCATGCTGACCTTTGTGCTCGCCAACTTGTCACCTCAACCTTTTATTCCAAACACTAGTTTTGTGTCCTGTACACCATATTTAGTATTGACTTCCAATTTTGCCCAGTAGGAGAAGCATAATTTTAAAGCTTTTATGTGCACTCCACCCGGGAGTGTGCTTTGAAGATACCGTTCTTAGAAAGCGAATGAATGTTGCACCTTCTGCACGCTTTTACAGGACTCGGCACACCATGTCCTAATTATTGCAGCACATCCGTGACTACGACTTATTTGAAGAAGTTGCAAAGTTAATCACTACCCTTTTGGTCTCTAAGGCTCTCAACCAAAATTTTCATTTTTGAAAACCTAAGTCATACGTAATAGTTTATCAGAGAGCCATAAGTCTGGAAAGCCTTTTAACAATGCACTGAAATTTTAACCATTATCACTCATCTGTTTTATCGCTATGGCGCCTAGCTTCAAAATGGTATATTGTCCTGTCGACCTTTCAACTGTTCTAAGGCCGACCTCTGGGACGTACTGCTCCCTCCACCACAGTGTCGCTACGGCCTTTGCATGACTCATTGGACCGACTTCAGGGTTTGTGACAATGCGATTTGTCGAGGTGGGAGTGGGACTGAGGGTGGTCGTTGAAGTCTAGGCACTTGATGTGAGCTAATGGGACGAGCCCCTAATCACATCTCCTGCATAGCCATTTCAAATGATAATGGGAGGCAGGGTATTAACTCCTCTTGCTTGTTGAACTGGCGTCCATTCTAGTGAATTTGTGGTGCGCACAGACTGCGATGCACGGTGTCATTTTTATGCCCTGCGGTAGCTTTTGGACATTCTTCATTCCTATCAGCGTCGTAACTTCTAGCGGTTGTTTTCCTCGCATAAGTGAGACTACACAGGTCTATAATTTCTTCAGTTCTACTCTACATTAAATAAACTAGACAAGTGTCATAAAAGATTAAATTTAGTTAATTGGATGCATTCCAATTGGTCATTCTACAACAAATATCTGCTGACAACGTTTATTCCTATGATACCAATTGCTGTATCCAACACCACTGGAACAATTTGTCATTCAGTTTCATTGATTGCATTGAAACATTGTACCTTGAGAAAGCTCCTATTTGATGCCTCTCAATGTGCACATCAAACCAAATATCCAGAATTTCCACCTTACTGTGTTCTAAGATCAATTTTTTCGGCATGTACAAAGCGGCTCACCAATGGGTGGACGTCGCCCATAAACAGTAGGGCCCACTTACTCGACAGAGAGGTGCTTAAAAGTAGTTATCACGGGAACGCGGTTATTCGGTGTGCCACAAGTGCACTTAACTGAGTGGCCTAGCAGCATCACGGTCATGCCCGAAGGTTAGTTTGCCCCGAATCCTGACAACATTTTATATCCATTTTATTAAAGGATCAGCTCTAAACGGATCGATTGCTGGAGGTGATGTGACTGACTTTGTTCATCGTTAAGAGCAAAGAATTAAAAGGCAAACTTTCGTTTTGATGAATATGCAACTTACTGCATCGACTCTACTCCCACGTCTGTGAGAAAAGCGCACATGCGCCGCCCTACAATCGTGTTTTGCCATCCTTGTGAGTTGGGTTTCATAGGCTATCAGCACCGATTGTCACCAAAGTTTTGCGCAAGGAACATCAATACAGGTGAAAGAAGGACACAACTGCTACCCACTAATTAGCACCTGTATACCACCCACGCCTATGACGGATGTTAGCGCAGCAGTGTAGATGCCAAACTTCGCAGACTCCTGCGTTTGCACTTTGTTTTCCTCCTCTCTTCTCTTTAATGCTTTCAACAATACTGTGGCTGCCATTGAATAATGGGAGATAGGGGGAGTCAGAAACCAACCGTTTTCGCTCATCTAAAGGGATTTGACATCTGTTTCAATTTTATTTGATGAAATCATCTATTTCTTACAAAATTTTTCAACCCTCAAAACGGTTTTTCGACATGTATTACTACTTGTGTTCAACTATAACGCTGGAAAGGACTACCCTTGTAGAGGATTGTAAAGGCAGCTCCTGATGTAGATGATGAGACGCGTTTTTGGCTACCTCCCATCCCTTAATTACGCGAAGCGTATTTTGCAGATGCCAAAAAGCCGGTTGGTGGGTGAAGTTGTGTCTATTCTTTGACTTCTTCCATTGTCTGCTATGTAAAAATGAATAATTTCCTGTCCTTGTGCCTCGCTTCTCTTGCACACTTCTTGATTGACCTTTAGCTGGGTTTAATTTTAATTGCCTCGTTACAGTCCTAATGTTAGTCACTTACTGCTGAAAACGTTTTAGTCAAGTTGCATTTTTGCCGCAGCTTTTCGTCGCATTCTTTCGTAGACAGTTGTTTCACGTGTTGCAATAGTAAAGTGGAACAGAACCGGTACTTTACTTTGATAAACAGAAAAAACAGCACCGTTAGCAGTGCGTACATCGCCCGTGTTTATGTTGCAGCAATATGACGAGGTGGTTGCCTACCAGAGCCTCCTCACGATGCCGGTGAGTGAGTTCGCCAGTCGCGTTCTCAAAGGAGTAGCAGGGTCTGTAAGACTTACAAACTGGTCTTCTGAACTCCCAACTCCGGTCAAGGTGGAGAATTATGACTTCAAAAAGGGTACGCAGTCTTCTCACTGGAAATGTTGTCACCAATACTGCCGGTGCTGCAATTGTCATAACTCTTTGTAAAGTACATGTCTGATTTTTATTCTGTGATGTTTCAATGCCATTTCACACAACTCTTCCCCAATGCATCGCGCATTTCCGCATAACTTGTCCGAGAAATCGAAAATCCTCTCCAAAAGAACGGATCATCAACGAATTAAGTTATTTCAACGTATCAGCGCGCGACATGTCTTTACTTTCTGCATTCGGCTAGCCATCATTAATTAACAACTTGCATCACTCGGACACTCGTCCTTTCTCAATCACTTTCAATGTTCATTCAAATCGCGTTCTTCAGAGAGCTCTATTTTCGTTTACTTCTGATCTCTTTACGTTAGATTGGATGCCAGTAAAAGAACATCATTTATCTCTCTTTGTAGGTAGATTAGGCCTGCTAAATTTCTTGAGTGGAAACACTTTCAATGTCAAAAGGCATTCTCTTAATCAATTTTTAGGTGACACATCAGTTCATCAAAATGAATCCCTCACCCAACCTCCAAGTTTCTTGATTTTGCCAGTCAGTGTATACAACCGATTCGCATCAATGAGGCGAATGCTTTTGGATGGCTACAAGTCTCCAATCTGTCCTGATATAGGGTGGCGTGTAGCCATACCCCAATTGGCCACCAAAAAGGGAGAAGCTGGGACAGTTATCGAACCACCGAGTTGGGACCAATGGACTGGTTTGGAAACTGTCATTGCGGCACCTTCGTGGATTATTTCGAAGACTCAAAATGGGGAACCGAAATCCAATATCAGGATGGTTTTTGTTCGACGTCAATCTGATGATTGTGGAGATGCCATTAGCCCTTCTTTGCGAAAATCCATATTCGGTCGTAAGTTTAATTACTCCATTTCTTGTTGAATCATCGTAGACCCGTTGCATGAAGCAAGCTCCCACGTTTAAGTGAACCCTTTATTTCCATAGGTGGTATGACCTCAATTGAAATCGACCGCCATCACCAGGGTGTGTGCACTTTTTTACGGAAAGTACAAATAGTACCGTTGATTCCTACATCATGGCTGATAATACAAGGTTTGATCACACTTTTGAGCATGCAAAAATGTTTAGGCTCTAAATAGCAAATTGTTATGCGAAGGAAATACTTAACATTGGGGGCGCCTAAACTGACGGGTGAACCATTAGCTTAACCTTACATCATCAAATAAGCACTCCAATTGTAAGAACACTGAAATGATATTGAAGTTCCACAATATCCTATTTTTCTCTCTGTGGTCTTGATAACTTTTGAAAACTTTATTGAAGTAATGACACTTTGAATTGCCTTCCCGTATTCTCTACAAAGATGCTCTGTTAAAGCCCACTTTCGCATTCAGAAGGTGACTTCGTATGAACAAATCACGCTTTAATGTAATTATTGGGCCTGATTCGGCAGTGCTATATGATTGGGTGGACATGTTAAGTAAATTTAGTGTAGAACATATCGAAAATTTCCAACCATAACTTGTATTAAATTAAATAGCCTAGCAATGACTAATTAAAGTTTATTGGTCCTTCCTGTAATTACCAGATGAAATTCTCCTCATTTTGGCTTCGACAATTAAATGGCTTGAAATAGTTTCATCGATCAAGAAATTTGTCTTAAAAGCAAGAAGGAGGTATCAGGTTATCTAGGGTTTGCGTCACTCGGTGCATCCTGTCGCCAATGTCTCTGTGTAACGTGTGGAGATCTACTAAATGGAATAGCTTATACGCATCGGGAAACAGTTATGCTTCAACAATGCGCCTACTTCATGTTCATTTGGAGAGAACGCCGCTCAGAAACTACTTAAAAGCTGAAAACTAATTATGATCATGCAAAGCATATCTGTTACGTTTCTCAAAGCCCTTCATTCTTCACAACAACCTATTCCCCGTTGCCCTTTATTACAATAATTCAAAGATGGTGAATCTAACTCAGCTTTCATTGATTCCTACACTTCGTTTATTTGTGCGAAAATTGGAAAAGAAAGTTATGATTAAATCAATTGAGCGAATGTTTTCTGCTCACATATATTAACAGGTGGTAGTACCGCTTAAGATCATTTTGTTCTACCCTCCACTTGTTAATCAGCTTGTGAATGGAAATGATCTTGTGATCGTTTATCCCAAGCGATTCGCCTGTTCCGCACTTCCAGGGAACTATTTTAACTCACTTCATCTCGATTAGGGCTGAATAGTTTTGCACCACAGTCACCCACCTACTGCGATTGATCTTGATTCTCGAGAACACTTCATTTTTGAGAAGGAGCCAAGTCTGGTCACTCGGTGAAAGGACTTTTTTTACCATACAACTAAAGCTTCCGTACTGCTCCGAGGCTCACTTGTGAGGAGATTTTCTTTTGAGGTAGGGAGATACAGCCTTACCGCTAGCCCTCGTATTCATCATACTAGTATTAACAGCTCCTTTTGGCATTTGGCATATGAGAACCGGAATGAGCAGTTGGAATACAAAGGGGTATCTCTAGAAGTAAAAGGTTGCATATAGGTAGTATCTGCATGTTTAAGGTATAATAAAGATTGAAATGGATGGCTGCACTAATTGAAACTTGTATTTGGACGTTGGAAAATCCACTAGTGCAGCCACAATCACTTTCTGCTTTTGTTCACGCGAGTATTTTCGCGAGCTCATTTTCGTCTTACCAGATTATAACCGTATGCCGTCCTGAGACAGCAAAGCGGAAAGCCATGAATTCGATAAGACCATGATTTGATATATTAATGGCCATTCGGTGCTATGACATTGAAGGGTATGAATGTTTGAATGTTTCAGCGCTTAGAAACGTGCAGAAATGCCTTTAATATGAGGTACAATTCGCGCACCAGTATATGAGCGTGTGTGAAATTTTCGGCAGTTGATACCCGCACTGATTAAATCACCGCGATTTAATAGTACCGATGACGACCTAGCCGAATGATGTAGGCCCAGGTTATAATGTAATTAAAGTCCAGAACTGTTATTTTGAGTAGGTACTTACCGCAACTGGACTTTCTTTTCTCCTTGCAAGAGTACAAAGCACAGTAGAAGGCTTGATTTTTGCATATTTTCGCTTTTAGCGGCCCGAATCCGTCGAACTCGCATGAAAGGTACGAATCGGTTGGTCATGAAAGTCAAGCAACTAATATCAACGATTCCAGCCATCATATCTATGAATGAGGCGAAAGTGAAGCACCAGAACGATCTTACCTCAGATAGGGACCATACTACTGATGCTACCTCTACGGGAATCACAGAGACACTGAATTTTCGATATGTCTGGTCGCGTGATTACCGATCGAACCCCGTCAGACGCGGTACACTGGGTCCAATGCTTTCAACCGACATTGAAAACGGTCGTTCCGTCCTCTCCCCACTTCCAGAGGGAGCAGAAGACAATGCACTCACTACGGCCCCTCCCTCCTCAAGTGTCACCAATGCAAGCACCGATGAGGAAGATACTCGAAGCATTGGGGAGCGGTGGCATCAGAACCGTCGACAACAGCAGCAGCAACACCAGCACCAACGACCCACGCGGTCGTGCCTCCCACCGCAGCGTCTTGAGGTGTTAGACAGGGATCTCGAGAGGGCCCTTCAGCGAGTACGTGGATCCTTTTTATTTCCAATTTCCAAAAGTTAAAACTAGAGCTTACTTGGCACATTTAAGTGCTGAGTCAGGCCAAAGTTGGAAGCAGAATTCATTTTTACATACCGTCCCAGAATAACAACGCGTAAAATGGATAAGTTTTGGCAATTTAGTTGTCAAAAACCGCACATTTCGTAATGCAAACACTCTTTATGGATGTCTCGTGCCACAATTTTTGAGGTATGAAATGCATAGGTGTATGCATTTAGGCAAACGAATCGATCACTCCTTATCCGTCATTTGCGTTCATTGGTTGAATCGGGAATTTCCCCGAACGGAGTATCCGTTGAATTGTTGCAACACGACGAAAGACATCTGCTACCCACATAGTAAAATAATTTTCTTATTGATATAAAGCGATTGATGATAAGTAAGACAAACATGATTTACCTCTCGACTCCCAACCAGTCGGTATGAGTTTTACACTCTCAAAATGCATTTCATTGTTGTGACAGTCTTAAGTCTGAAGACGAAAAGAAGTGATTATTTGACGTTTGGATGCAAATGATTGCGGTGGTGCACGTCAGACGTTCTATTTTCTGAGATGTATTTACTAAAAGTGGATTCCATTGCAAGCTTTTCCTTTCACACCTGATGGCTCAAGAATATTGTTCCATGAACACCGATTTATTTGCTGCTAATCACTAGTTATTAGCCAGCACTTTACCAAGGTGAGGATTTCGGAAAACACAGTATTGCAATAAAATGAAATCTAAAAGCGAACCGACTCACAACCTTTCAGTCTATTCTGTTTACGCTATACGGAAATGGTGAAGACCACTGATATTCAATGCATTTGAAGATGGGGAAGAGAGTTTGACTACTAGTTTTGGTTATGATGAGCGGATCTGGTGGTTGGAGCATGAATAGGTCTTCTTTTATAGTGTTGTTTCATCCGCGGGAGCATGTTCATATACACTTGGCTGTCGTTCTGTCTATGTCATAGCCATTTTGAGAGGAAAGGGGTAGAGATTACCCTAGCCGAGTGTAGGCTGTGACTGCCGAGTGCGAAGTTATGTACAGAGCCTGCTCTAATTCCTCCGACAAAAATGTCTATACTCTGATGTTCGCTAAACGCGGACGTGTTCTGGCATGTTATGAATGCAAATGACCCAAACATGCTACCATAAACGCTACTAAACACGTTTCTGTTCAGAGTTTAGCCGACGGTCGAAATAAACATTCAAGCCATGCGAAACAGGAGCTCTCACCTCCGCAGCCCTCTACAACTGCAAAAAGGCGGTCACGTCAGAAGCGCACTAGTTCATCAAATCATATTTCAGAGGAGCAGGACACTCACAGACCCCTCGGAGGCGCTCTGCAAAGGCAGCTTCAAAATGGGGTGAAGGTAATCACCCAATAATCATACTTACAATTTTCTACTCATATATTAAAAGTAATTACTAATAACACCCTTATTTCAGAGAGCTAAGTCAGAGGTGATGCTGGAGATGTGCTTGGACGTAGCTGCGTCGAAGCCATTGGGGCCAGAGACGATAGCAAACAACGGCAGTACTTGGGCGAACAGGTTGCGCTCCAACTCCCCTTCGGCCACCTCTGACTCAGCTGCTTCCAACAGTCTACGGAAACGCGAAAAAAGTTCCGTGATGACAAAATCTTGCCCAAATGTGGACTCTACAGGGGAAAGTGAAGAATTTTCATGTTTACCAGGGAATGATGCAGGTAATTATACGATATGAACCCCTTGATAATCGCGCGACGCTTAGCAGAACAAATGTCTTTGTTTTTAACTGGGCACCAAAGCCTAAGTATGTTATTTGCAGCAATGAATTCATACAATGGTTCTGTTGCGCCATAGAGCATCAGCCAGTCCCTGCTTCATTGAAAATGGGGATGAATAAGGGAGGAGAAGCAAAGAAGAAACCAAGAGAGGCAGGAGTCGTCATACCAAAGTTGACTCTGGCAATAGAAGGAAATGGTCGGGTGCGAGTGAAATCACAATACCGCTGTATCCACCAGAAGCACCAGTCTGCTGCAGAAGTAACAGTAGCAGAAGTCAGAATGGCAGAATCTGATGATCCCTATGCCCTCCCATCGTCGCCTCTGAGCAACGGTCAAGAGACCTGCTGTCCTATGCCTGGACCAAAGAAAAAGAGGCGTTCTCCTTCACCGGATCCTCCTGTTCTTCTGCCAGAGGGAGAGGTAGACCATGTAAACAAGTGAGGCTGAAAGCTTTGAGTGATATGGGAATGCATATAGGATAAAATTCATGACCTTGAGAGTAGAACGCACATTGGCTTCCTCCATTAATGTGAATGCTATTTCTTGGTTAGAAGTAGATTTGCAAATTTTGCCTATGGTTATTTGAAAGGGATGGAAATAAAGGCTGAAACACTGTGGATGTTGCATGCTCTGAATTCCGGATTCATTGATAAAAGATGTGCACCTTACACCTTGATAATAAAAGTCATTAAAGACACTGTTGCATTAGTCGTGAGGCGAAAAATGTCCGAAGCCACATCAATAAGGCGGGATGCACATCAAACGCTGTAAACAGTTTCATTCATATACAAAAACTTGACTCAAACAGCTGGGTTGATTGTGCTTTGCTTAACCAATCGCACTGGCGGTGGAATTACAACATTGTTGTTTATATTTGAATTAGGTTTGCTGCACTTTGTTTCATATTCATCGAGGATTTTCACCTTTAGCAGCGAAGAGGACGGAGTTGGGCTGACGCTAGATGAGAGCTTTCAGGAGTGTGGCAAAAGGTCTACAATACGTGGTCAGCCAACGTCTCAATTGACATCGGTTACTTCGAATAATTTTAATTTAGGAAGCGAGTTGTCGCAACTGCCACCATCGCTCCCGCCCATAGAAGCGACGGCAACTTTCTTTGGTGCCCATGACCAACATTCCGTCTTTCCACCGTTTTCCGCATCCGTAAGTGAGGGAACCCAAACAGTAGTCATCTGATTCTGGGAAGCACTATTTTTGCTAATTTCCCATTGCTAGGTGGTCGGTTGTTCTGTTGGACCACCGACCTTTACAATTAGTCTACCGTCTTCGCTTCAACAAATCACAAGCGTAGGCGGTCAGCCTGTGTTTGCTTCAACCCAGCCTATTGTCGTGTCTTCCCCTTCACTCCCAACAGTGAGCTTTGGCTTCTCCTATTTCGTTTTTATTTTATATTATGCCTTGCGGAAAAGTGAATTTAGTGATCTTGAACATGGTGAAGTCAAGAAAACCTTGATATGAAGGCTGCCTTCACATGCTAGTTTCTTTAATGATGAATTAGTCAAGGGCTCTCCAGAGAGTAAAACTTCTAACACCGCTGCTACTACTTACAATAGGTAACTGTTAGGCTTTTTAACTAACTCATTGTTATTACCTCGTGTCACTTCTTTGGATTACATATTCGTGCAATTTTTTGTTTAACACTGCTTCTAGGGCGGTACTTTATTCAAGGTAGCCAATATTGGGTTGCTGTAGGTCAACAACCTACTCACATATCGCCCAATAATATCCGGATCATGAGCGTTTAAGCGGTGTATTATGACAACTAATCATGAGGTGTTAATATTGGCAAACATTCACGCTTGTTATGTTTACTGGGTTAATGAATGCATCCATAAGCAGATGTGCGTACTCTCAGATAACACATATTTGTCGTTTTTTACGTTTTATAGCCTGACGTCACGTCCAATCTACTTGGTGCCTATGGCAACAGTTCCCTTGTAAAACCCAACTCTGCAACACATACCGTCTCTTCCCATACGAATGTCGCCTTTTGGAACGGTTAGCTATTCTTACTTTTCTATATTGAATGATTTTTAATCATTTCCCTTGCTAAGCATCGTCTGAGATGTTTCATTTAGGGTCTTATGGGGAATCATTCTAGACTTCATCAAGAGTGTGAACTACCTTGGATACAAATGTGCGTAAGTGGGGGTGGAATGAGCAAAACCAATGCTAGCCTCGTCAGCAGAAGTATTATGGAATACCAAAACAGCTGACCAATTTATGAAGGCGTGATGCATGTACCACAAAGTACACAAGCCGGTGTAGCTAGTATTTACTTCTTCTTCTTCTTCAGATTGCGCACTTGGTCGTAGGCCAGCAACAATGTGGACGCCCCGGAACGAGCCATTGCCACCTCCGGATCCCCCTCTGCTCGCGCGTATGCAAGCAATGCCCAGTGGTGGCGATAATAGTGGTGTTGGACTCTGTTTCTTTCATCCTTCTGCCTCAGCAGTCGCTTCAGCGACAGGAGCGTCAGCGTCATCCTTTCAATCGACTCTCTTACCAGGAATCGTACCAATTCAGCAACACCATGCGTCTGCCACTGCAACTACCACCACCGTTGCCCCTGATATCACAGTAACAGTAACAACACCACCAATCCACCAACAGGCCCTCCTTGATGCCTCGACTACGGGCTATTCTATGTTGACCTCAGATGCTGCCACTGCTCTAGCCATGGCCGCTGCTGCATATTTCAATCCCCCTGTCAATTCCATCCACACCACATTGCATCAATCTTCTACTCCCGGCCCCTCCACTAATAACTCCATCTCCAACCAACCTCCGGTGACTGCTACTGTATGGAACAACAACATTAGCAGTGGTTTTTTGTGAAATCCATTACTTCCCCCTTTGTCTATGCGTTTTCCCCCCTCGTTCTCAGCCCATCCACTTCAGCGTACATGGTGTACAGTTGTCCTCGTGATACCTATCAACAACAGCAATACCAACCACACATACCTAACTCTGTCTCCATCTTACATTTTCTTAAAAAAAAATACAAAATAAATAGTGCATTTATGTGTAATTAATGCGTTTCACTGTTTGACAAACACCGAGTCAAGTTTTTTAGGCTAAAAGTAAGGAGCATGCGTTGTACTGATCTGTTCGATGCAATGTTCGGTAGAAGTGCTTTTACTCTACAGTATCGTCGTGCCATCCTCCAGTATGGTAGTTTCATCATTTACTCTGGCTAGTCTCAACACACATGCCTCCAGTGCACTGCCGGGATTTTCACTGTCCGACTGTCTGTGTTAAGTGAATGGAGGCTAGAGACGCGAATAACTCCACCAAAGTGGTGTGTAATGGGATCACAACACGTAGGGTCTGCGTCATTAATCCATTGATGTGTAATTTTGATAACACGTTCGCAGTTCAACTTCTTTTACTGTGGTTTAGACCTATTTTGAAACATCATTGGTCTGATTGGTTGGGAAGTTTTACTATCAGGGATCCTGTGGTGCCAGCAATTACACCCAAACGACTCCATTGGATAGTGAAGAACATGTTGGTTCATTATTGACTACAAGATGTGACAGGGTAATGACACTACCAAGCAAGATTTCTCACTTCACAACTCTCACATTCGGACTGGCGTTGCAAACTAGTCGTGTTTGTGGGCATATAGGTTAAGGACTGACTTTGTTAGTGCTTCCGATGCATCGTAAGAAAGCAGCATAATAACTACTCATTGGATAAAGTTGGAGGCAAATGAAGCATGCTTGTTGGCATGACATTCCATGTGTGACTATCGAAGTCATGTCGAATGTTAAATTGGCTTAATTATAAATCAACCAAAAAGTTGAGCACTAACTCCACAATTAAAATTTCCTTCATTCAATTATTCCATCAAATTACACTGCATTAACTTTTAGCAATTCGTTCAGCAGTGCAAAAAATTAAGGCCTTTTGTAGTACCTCCCACCTTTCACCCCTGGTTTTTTACCTCCGTCTTCATAATTAAGGAATTATTCTGGGAAGTAAAGGCTGGTAGGGGAAATTGGGTACGACTGGCAAAAGTGCCTACGCTAACCTCGAGGAGTGTCCGCACACGCCTCGAGGATAGGATTTCTCTGATTTCTCAATTTAGCAAACCTACCGAATAGCGGACAAATCATTCTTCACAATGGAAATGCGGAGGAACCAGAAGCGAACTTGCTTGTCCAAATAAATTCCTCCTAGATACTACGTGTCCACTACAGCTTCTAGCACACATTGAGATACCAAATTATACGCCATACGTGCAATTGAATTCACCCATCCGAGACACAAACTGACCTTGGTTCAAAGTGAAAGGCGAGCCAAGTAATTAACCAATTGTTATAACAACCTAGTCAACTTGGGTCCTTCTCAAGTACAAAGCAAAAGACTCATGAATACACTGTCATGATTTCTTTTATTTTCATATTAAAATCTCATTGAAATGGATTGTATAAAGAAATTCAACAGTATTCTTCGAAGAGTTCACTGAAAATGCGAAAACTGCAGGAATGACCAGGGACTCCAGAGAGCACCTAACGCATTCGGTAATTGAACTTCTTGTCAGCGGAAGATAGCTCGCCAACGAAGTTCAGTTTGATAGAGATGTCTAAGTCGCGCTGAAAATGAAATGAACAGGTGAAAGTTTGAGTGAGAATAAAACCTGGTTGTTCGAAAATGTAACCGACTATGTGGTTAAGCACTACTAACTTGAAACAATGAAACAAAGTATAACAAAGCGAGCACCTTAACTGTGGTAGGTTACAGACTTACATTATTGCGGCTGTTGGGTGTAATCGAAAATATGCCGCGGATTTCTTCGTTTTTTTTAACAGTTAGACATTCATCGCCGTCCCCTGAGTCAAGGTAGAAGACTGTCTGTTTCCAGTGCGTATATCTTCTTTCATCAGGACCGGTAGAAAAGCCGACATATTTGTGGCAGCACGAAAAATTAATGTTAAAAAAAGTGACTAAAGCATGGATGTAGTCGTTGCGTTTGCAGGTCAGCTGGAAAGGTGCCGAAAAGGTAAGATCCTCGACAGTAATGGTGTACATATCGACGTCTTTAACGAGGGAACAATTCGTAACTACTTGATTGGGGTCGACAACATCAACAAGAGGCTCAGTGAGAGCGACTTTGCGAATACAACTCATGTCGAATCCATAGACGTTGTCCCACCCTACATAGAAAAACTTCTTCTAAATATTCCAATAAAATGTGCAAGATACACGGTAAAAGGATTTTGACTAAGGTGCCAGAAGCGTCAGATTACCGACGTCAAATTACATTATAACGGAAAACACCTCAAAAGCCTATTTTCGAACACATTCACAAAACAACTCGACTTTCAGGCTCCAGAATCGATAGCAAATACTAAGGAATTACTTTGGTAGTCAGCTACGCGGGTAAAGGGCAACACGAAAACCCACCCATAGCGGCAAGAACAACGACACCACAAAACTACCAGCAAGAATTCCTTAGAGTGAACCAACTAGAAATGGAAGAAACCAAAGTGACAAACAACGACTTAGTGCAGGTTATGCTGATCGGTTGCAAAAGACACCGACAAATGATTAAACAACGAAGGTAAGTATAAGACTTAAAACAGGATATAGCATTGACCCAAAGGGGTAAACTAAAATTATTACCGAACAAAACTTACAGTTAATCTTTTCATCCTTGTACTGTCTATCCTCAATAGCACAAATGTAAAGAGTAGCGCGATCTGGCATAATAAGACCCCCAGGTGCCTAAAGGGGGTGACAAAAGTCGAAGTGAATCGACCAGCTATCGCTGGGGGGATAAACCTTTCACAAACTTACCAGCCACTTATCACGGGCGTACAAGACCGTGTTGAGCATCGACTCGTAGAATAAACAATAGCCCATCCACTCACTGATTATAATATCAACCTTGTCGATACCACTTGGAAGCGAAACTTCTTCAACCTTGCCTTTGATCAGAGTAATTTCTAAAATTTAAAGAGATTAGTAAAAAGTGCAAAGCATACTATTTAACATCCCGTTAGCTTTGACAACCTCCCTTGCATGATCAATAATGTTTGAGCATTCGATCTAGACACCAAGGTTATCAAAGCTAAAGAAACGCATACCCCAATCACATGCTTTGCACCAGCTTTAACAGCAAATAAGCACAAGATACCAGTTCCACAACCAACGTCAAGCACTACTTTGCCTTTTACCAGGTGCTTATTGTGGAGCAATGCGTTTCGATAGGTAACCGTTCGCGTTTCATCTTTTAACATTTCCTACACACGGACACCCAAAAAGTTAGGAAAGATAACTACCTCATGAATACCGAAATGGGCATAAGAATCAAAATAGTAATCCTTTGATGTCATTTCGTTCACCGGAATTTTCCCAACTTCATCTTGGTCAACTTCCCCCTGCGCCATCAAGCTCAACGAACAAAACGGTGTGCACAACACAACTAGGCTCCGCACCAAAGCGGTGGGATTTGTATAGGTTTTTCGAAAATGATATTGTCACAGCTTCTGATTGAACTAAATACTAAAGCAACCCAACCCCAATGTTTTATGTTTCTGGCGTTAAAATACTGACTGAAACTAATTAATGACCATTTTCTTGACAGGAAAGGTGGCCTAAAGCTAAGCTAAATGATACGCATAACCCCGAGAACAGAATACACATATTTTGCCCATGTACCACACCTTTTTACATCTCTGAAGGAGCCCCATAATACCAAATAATTATATGTGTAGTGTCCCGAGGCTTCCCATAGAGTGGAAGAAGGCATAAGTAAGGTTGAATATACGTATTCCAGAGACGACAATGCTTCGTTTATGGGACTACTTGGCGTTCGACGGTCACTCTGTGATTGGTCTGGCCTATGTACTTTTGGGCTAGCCTTCGGTTCATGCTCAGGCTCATATGCTTTGTTCTCTCCGTAGTGCATGTGTCCAGCCCCACTTACTGCATTCTTCCACCCTATGGGAAGTCTGGGCACGCTGCATACCTATTCTCAGCAAGGCCACTTTGAGTCAAAGACGCGGGTTTTTTTGAAAAACGTCAGATATTTTATTTTTAAAATCAGCTAAATTCGAGTATTTAATATTTGATCAATTTAAGCTCACTTGAGCTGAAGAGTGAGTAACCGTCCAGAAAGGCTGCCTTGTGGCAGGATGGCAAAAGAGACAGGTAAAGTATATTAACGGAGTAATGTAAATAATCTCTAAGAAAAATTAACTTGTTTCACGCTGTATAATTTGAAATTTCCGATGTTTCATCTGCCTGTGTTTAAATGCGTTGTTTGGTGACCACATTTATATTATCTCCTGGATGCCGAAGTTGGTTGATTTGTTGTCATCTGTATTGAATAATAATCGATTATGTAGGTATTACTGTGATTATTGCGACAAATTCCTTACACACGACTCGCCTTCAGTGCGTAAAACGCATTGTACGGGACGTACCCACAAGAACAGTGTTCGTGAATACTACCAAAAATGGCTTGAAGAACAAGTTCAGAAGCTTGTTGATCATGCCTGTAAGTATTGCGCTTACCCTAATTTGCAATCCAGCTGAGGCATACAGGCAAGGAAAGGTGCCTCCGCCCATGTTCGGTGGCGCGATGGGTATACCTCCTCCCGGCATGCCAGGTATCCCGCCCGTGGGTGCTTTTCCCCCTCAATTCCCCCCAATGATGCCGGCCCCGCCGATGGGGATGAGACCGCCTATGGGCCCGCAGAATGTCATGCCGGGCGTCGGTGTGCCACCCGGGCCACCGATACCTCCGTCATGGGCTCCTCCTAGACCTGGCACCCTCCCGTCAGTGCCAGCCTCGGGAATGATGCCGCCCCAGCGGGGACCAATCCAGTAACTTCACATTAGGCATTCACTAACCAATAAATCTCTACACGGCTACATCTGATTTGCGTGGTTGCCTGATGTTCGGGTCGGTGAGGTAATAAGCTAGTGAGTCTTCAAATTTATCTCTGGTTGAGGATCCTACGATATGCATTAAGATCGATGGATACAGCGCAGCGTGACAAAAATACAAAAGGAATTAGAATGTGGGGAAGGGATGTTTATTGCAATGCTTTTTTTGTGTTCAATAAGCGTCTTGTCCTCTCGTGCTTGCTTGCTTGCATGCTTCTGAGTGGCCTCTTGTTTTGCCGTTGCGTCTTCGTTAATATGCTTCTCACCCGATCCTCTGTAATGGGGAGGCTTCTTGCCACTTCTAGGAGGGTTCGAGTGGGAAGAATGAGTTGAGGATGCATTGACACCGAATCCTGCACGCTAGCTTTGCAGAGCCCAGTCTTGGACGCGTCCATGTCTATGTCTGTATTGTCAAAATACAGAGGTACACTAGGTCCAGCACCACGAATATAAATTGAACGGAGGGTTTTCAATCCTCCGGGCCATTTCCCCATGACGCCGCGAATCTATAAGGCAGAGGAGGGGATCACTTCTTGGGTTCGCTTCCCGGAAAGGTTAGGCGTTATTAGTTGGAACGACTACAAACTTAGCAATTACAAAGGGGGTATGGCTCGCGAGTGGTTAAAATGCAGGAAAGTTGAACGCATTGAAAACTCACCACTGATACGATGTTCTCCTTGATGCATTCCCTCGACATACTTGTATTGCCAATGACAACGGAGTCGGTAGTGCCTCTGCCTCTGACCAGGACTAAGCAGGAGTGAAGACCCTCATCAATGGCCTTAACCAGACCTTTCTTGTCAAGCGCAACGGGTATTGGCACTTTATCACGCGCATTACCATAGAAAGCTTTGCCCAAGTTCGTCGATAGATGATGGACTATTCGGTCATCGGCAAGAAAAATATCGAAAGTGGCCGCAAGCTTCCTACGGGACTCATATGACTGATAGCACAGTTTCAGTTCTCTTAATGGCAGAAAGGTGAGTGTAGCAGAGGAACATTTCTCTCCACTGGCCTGCCATTTACGTTTCCATATATCGTTACTGGCATTATAATCAGTCGCCTTCAAATCTTTTACAATCACGCAAACATCAATACCGGGGGGCCTGTGCGGTAATTTCACACGCAAAGTTACCTTCGGCAATGGCACCTTTCCAACAAAGGATAAAATCACATTCGGAACGAAGAGCGACCTCTTGACACTCGGTCCGGGCCTGTGATCAGTAACTAGGGCTAGAACTTCATCACTGATGGTTTCGATTCCAACGGCATCCATTTCTAATCCACGAACACGAGACCCTTCACACGCAAGCCAGTAAAAATGCAGATCAACTGAAAACTCAAATTAGAAACAGGTTTAAACAAACATTAGAAATAATGCTGCTAGGACCTAAAACGGTTAAAAACTCTCGGTTTGAACAAGAATTAATAATGGTCTGTAGATGATACGCCTATTGTGAAGTTGTTTTAAAATCTTGCTTTTTAAATTGTTGCAAAAGTATAGAAAACACCATATGATGGTGTCGTAAAACCTTGCTTCTTTGACTACCATAACCAGCAGTGGTTGCTTAGGCAATGTAATGGTCTGATTGTAGAAATGTCTGCTTGCCCCTTATGCCCTTGAACCATGGATTTGACCAAGTGTTTAGTTACAGACGGTTTATTTGGCATCAGATACATGAAGAATGGGAATTGGAGTGCAGATGGGTCAAGAAGAAGATATCACCCGGAAAGGGTTCCTTACGGTCCTCGCGCACGCGCTTCGCGTTCCAATTCGGTTAGCACCTCTCTCCTATAAAAATCAATTTAAACAATCTAATATATGTTTCACAGCCCCCTTTCTCCTTCAGGCACTGTCTCCGGTGCTGACCAGTAGAGTTCCGTCAGGCGGCTGCCCTTTTCTACCAACGTATAGACTTCGTCTTCGTAACCTACTGGGGGAGCACCCACGTGTTGCCTAATCTTGTTATGACGTACTGTCAGAGGCCGAGTAGCATTCTCCGAATTCCGGATAAAATAATTCGTGGGCGACAGGACTTTGTCCCGAGGGTTCCTTGCTCCAGGGATGATAGAATTTCCGATGGGTTTCCGACGAAGGAACTAATCTACACAATTGCACCAAACTACCCTCCTTAAAGACATTTGTTCTGCTCTGTTTGTCATAGGATCTCTTTTGCCTAGAGCATTTTTTTAGCAAACGCTTTCATGAGGTTTCCCGTTATTCGCAAGACGAACTGAAGCGCGTTATCCACTCACGGGTTCATACAGGGGAGAGAAATGTCAGAAGGGACTCGCACCAGTCGAGGTGTGATCGGAGGCTCAGTGGGCGAGGTAAAGGCCTTCAATAAGTCGACAAGAGTACGATTTTTACCCTCTACTTGCCCATTGCCCTGAGGACGGCCCTTGGTTGCTATGCACGGGATCAGGCACGCCATGTTGGCAGATTCAGCGATTGAAGAATGCGGTTGCTATTGTCCCAGCACCCTGTGCCTGTAGTGGCTCGGCTTCCGCAACTTTGGTGAAATAGTCTACCACCACCAAAATACAACGATTCCCTCTCGGAGTCGTGGGAAGCGGACCTATGATATCTATACCTAATCGCCCTCTTGGAAAACCCGCAGACGTCGGCTGTAGAGGGGCCACCGCCGTGCGGGTTGAGTTCTTTAAGCTGGTACACGTGGCGCATGCGCGACAGAAATCGGAGACATCCGATGAAATCGAGGAACACCAATATCTCTTCCATGTGGCGTCAAGCATTTTCCTGTCCCCACATGGCCAAGTTGCTCATGCAATTCCAACAACGATGTCTGCATCAAGGAACCTGGTACTACAAGGCGTTTAGGACCTGTCGCATTATCGTCTTTGTACCATATGACGTCCTCTTCTAGGGAGAGTTTTTCCCAGTTCTGGCATATTTGCATGGTTCTCTTGCTCGCCGAACTCATCTCCTCAACTGTGGGCTTGGCTGAGGATTTCCTTAGCTTTCCATAAATTAAAGTTGTATCGGGATCGGCGCTCTGCGTGTTTCTCCAGTGATGGGAAGTAGGCTCGCTCAATAACAGCGAACCGTGTCGCTATCCATGAACGGGGAAAAAGGCCTCCGCGACAGAGCATCCGCATTGCCGTGAGAGCTTCCTTTTCTATATTGCACGATAAATTCCTATTGCTGGAGTTCTTCGAACCACCTCGCAACGGAGCGATCGATCTTCATTGTCTTCAGCCATGTCAGTGCTTGATGATCTGTCCTAACAACGAACTGCTTTCCCATCAAATAGTGTTTAAAATGCCTGACCATTGTATGAATAGCGTGAGCTGGCATACGCGATCACACTTTCTCTCCCGTCTTTGTCTCTTTGGGATAGAACTCCACCCACCGCCACAGCGTTTGCTTCTGTGTCCAGCATAAAAGGAGGAGCCACGGCATTGACATTTGGTAAAGTAAATATCGACGCCGCGCAGAGAACACGCTTCAACTCTTTAAACTCTTCTGTCTGTTCGTTTTCCCAACCGAACTCCTATTTTGCCTGTTTCTCTGTCAACTTGTACAGGAGACTTGCAATCTTGGCGAACCCTTTTGTAAAACGCCGATAATAGTTAGCTGCGAAGTTCTGTTTGATTTGTAGGTGTCGGCCAAGTACTCGGTTGTCTTGTTCTGCCCCCCATGACCGCCAACCCATCTGCAGAAATTGCGTGCCCCAGAAACATTGACCGACTATTGGAGAAAACTGCACTTCTTTGGATTTAGCGTCAGACCGGCTTCCCGAAGGCGATCCAGTACTAATTGGAAGTTGGAGTTGTTGTTTGACGTCTCTCCCGAACACGAGGATGTTGTCCAGATAGATAATGCAGTGTTTCGGAAATAGGTCGCGCAATGCCGTCTGCATAAGACTCTAGAAGGTGACCGCCGCGTTACAAAGCCCAAAAGGCATCGTTTGGAATTCATACAGTCCATGTGGCACAATGAAGGCTGTTTTTCCTCTATCCTTCTTCGCGACCTCCACCTGCTAGTAGCCGGATTTTAGTTCCCATGCCGAGAACCACTTCACTCCTTGTAGAGAGTCCAACGAGTCGTTAATGTAGAGTAGAGAAGACGCATCCTTCTTTGTCACTGCATTGAGCCTCCTATAATCGACGTATAGACGTGGACTGCCGTCGCTCATTTTAACTAATGCGATGGGGGAAGTCCAGGTTGACTGGGAGGCCCTGATGTTATTTCGCAGCTTCTCGTCAATCAATCCATATACTTCGTCTTGGGAAGGTGGTGGTATGCGTCTAGGCGGCTGCCAGATCGATTTGGCCTCACCAGTATCGATCCTGTGTTTGACAACGTTTGTTCGTCCAAGTTTCACGCCCTCCCAGGGGAACATTTGTAAGTAAATCTTCCTTCCTCTCAGCCACAGCAACTTGTTTTAGGTGAGCGTAGAGATCGTTCAGATTGGTCTCGAGGACGGCAAGAGCGACGAAAAGGGATCTGCATGCATCATCTGTATCTTTCTTTGGCTTAGAGATCGAACGCTTCTTCTTAGGCCTTTGATGGGCTGTGAGCATGCCTGTATCGAAGTCCATAGTCGCTCGGGACTTGCGCAAGAAGTCGGCTCCTAGCAGTACGTCCTAGGCATGTTCTGCACCTAGCACAGAATTCACCTCTCATCTATCCTTCCCGATTGAGACTCTGATGGATGCTTCTCATATGACCGAGGTTTCTTTTTTTCTGCAGAGCGTAGCATTGCAGCCGGTGGGGTAATACTAACCTTGCTTCAAACCATTGGGAAGGCTTATGGGATTAGTAGGGAAAGGGCTCCCCCAGATTCCAGAAGGAAAAAGTATATGTGACCTCGTATCTTGCCTTGTACACGCATAAAAGTAGGAGATCATGGGGAAAACAGACACGACAAAGAACTGTCTTAATTTGTACGGAGGGGCGGTTCGGGGCGCGCGGTTTTGCCCGCCAGTAGTTGATCGTCTTTTGGGAGTCCACAGGCAAAACCGCGTTTTGAGAATTAGAGTTCCTGGCGCTTAAAGACTGTCACGTTGATTAGGCGGCTCAATCTGCTGATTCTCATCCTCACCAGCTGTTCTGTCAAGGCAAGTGGATATCCCTTTTGAACTGCGTCGCTATCCATAAAGCAACGCGCAGGGGACAGCAATCCTTGAATGCCTGTTTGGCAAAGGGACGTCAATTTGACAAGTAACTCAAAGCACTCTTCTATGTCCGAGGAAAGTGTGAAACCCGCATCCATTGCTTAGCGACGTAGGTCGTAGGGCAAGGCGCGGAGTAGCAATGGCACTCTCCATGCAGGATTGTAGAGTTCGAGCTCTGCCTTTGCAAAGAAAGCCAGTCATCGAAATCTGTGCCTTCTTTGAAGGGAGGGTTGTCAACGAGCGCTGCCCAGTGTAGGAACTACCTGCCTAACCTCATGCCCTTGAACCACGGACTTCAAGAGAGGGTTAGTTGCAGCAGGTTTATTAGGCATTGGACACAGGAAGAATGGCGATAGGAGTGCAGATGAGCCGAATAGCCGATATAATCTGGAAAGGGATTCCTCACGGTCCTCGGGCACGGGATTTGCGTTCCACTTCCGGTTCGCGTCTCTTTTCCATCAAGGCCAACTTAAACACTCCAGTATATACTACACTGGTTACCTTTCTTAATTTGTTTGCGTGGCTTCGACACAAGTAATCCGCCTTCTCTGAGCCTTAAGGAAACCTCATGTCCCTATACTGATAGCAGAGGGGGACTAATATGGCTGTGGAATGACCATTTCCAGGTTGCTTATGTCAAAGGTAAATTTGTGGTGGGCTGTATGGCGCATACTACGGTGAGGAGGTCTCTAATTCCTTTGCTACAGGAAAACCGGGAGTAGCATATGGCATCCCCGTATTCTGCCGTTAACCTTCTGACAATCGTATCAAAGGTTGAAGAGATTTTTTATTTTGCGTAATGTCGGTAATGTGAAATTGAGCGAATTCTTACTGAACCTTACTACGAACCTGTTTTAGTCCAGTACTTGATAGTCAACCTCAAACGTATATGATGATCACCGGAATTCCCGCTCAGTGGGTCTTCTCCTACAGACGTACAAAGCTCCAGATTTAGTTGAGGAGAGGGATCAGTAACGTCAAGTCCAGGCATCTCTTCATAGTTAAATGAGAACAAATGATTAGCTCTTATGGCACTTTTTAAGTGTATCACTGCTCACATTGTGATGATTGAGGATAAAGTTCTATCAAGGAAAGCACAAGGAATGTGGCCTAAATGGTGGGTGGAACTGTGTTGTGCTTTGCTTAACAGACGATAACAATGACACTGCTATAATTGACCATGTTACCATCCCGGCCGGACTGATATTTGAGTCATGTTTAAGCTCTAAATCCATTCTCTTTTTTTTGGTAAGACATATTCCATCGGAATGCTAAGCCTTCTCTTATCGGTGCAAATATTCACGATGCTACAAACACCCTCTAAACAACGGAACGCAGGCAATCAGAACGGATGAATATTTGGTGAACCTGTATTCTATTTTGCGTGAGTTCTTAATGCAAGGCATTTGATTCTCGAATTTAAGGAAACCTCAGTAGAAAAACTCGGACATGCAGCTTCTTCGTCTTTCGATTCAACTTTACTTTTGGCAGGCCTCGTAAAAGGGTATGAGAATTTTAAGAGACTTATTCAATTTTAGAAAGACAAAGGGCATTTAGGATGGTAGAAAACGTCTGCTTCGAGCTTGTGCCCAAGAGTGCACTTGCTTCATTTAGCCAACCAATCCGTGTTAAAGTACACGCTGCTTTCTTCTTTAAATGATGACCTTTGAATGGCGCCAGTGTACTTTAGACAGGTCTAGAAAACGGGGGGCTGCATTAATCATGGAGGCAATCATATGTAGTGTGCAACGTTTCGATATTTTACCTTTTTAGATGTGGATGATATTTGATCACCATTTATGTAATGCGTACAATTCAAGGGACGTTTTCGTCTTGTATAATTCAAGAGATGAACAAAAATTTGTGTACAAAAATCAACAATGAAACTTAGTTAAAAATGCTTTTCTTCATAGTATCAAAAGTGTCCGAAAAGTTCCGAATTAGTGGCTTTATTTGAGGTTCCGATGAACATGACAACTGTTCCACTGGAGGATTGATACTATAGAAGAAGTTGGAACCATAACAAATTGACAGTTTAATGTGTATAAATGTTTACCTACGCTAATGTTTTGGTTCTAGCAGTTTTTGCCTCAGATTCAAGAAGTGGTGTTGAGTTGTCTCACAGTCATTCATCTCTTTTGGTCTAGCAATGATGTAGCGACCCAGGAGTTCTCACTAAGTAGAAGAAGGCATTAAGTTGTATTCCAGGAGAAGAAAGGATTGGACCTTTTCTAATGCGTACAAGGGCAAGATGGATGCTAAAGTCAATGCCAGGCATTTGGTAGTCGCATAAACGAAGCGGTACAAGTGGTGCTACAGTTTTCATTTTAAACCCACCGATTTAATGGAAAACACGAAATCAGTGCCATTTACAACTACTGATATGTCTGGTGTGGTTTTGCTTGCCCCTTAATGGAATAGCGTGGATGGACTCACATTTTTAGCCCTGCAATGAGGACCGTTACATCTCAGATACGGTGGAATGTTAGATCAAGGACGGATGAAAGACTAATAAGTTACCTACTTAAGATAACTAGTAGCAAATGTTGGTGGTGATTGGTCTTCTAGATCAAATGCGGCGTAGTTCCCTTCTGACATTTCGGTAGTGAATGAAGACTGCCTCATATTTACCAGTACCGGGATGGAAAACACACCATTTAGCCACTAAATTTAACGGAGGCCTTAGAAGGCGTACATATTCTGTCGGGTAAAACCGGACTTCGTACCATGCTAAACTCATCTTCTTTCCTTTTTGTCTCTATAAATCGATCCAATTATGTAGTGCGCATTCGAGCACCCAGTAAGGGGTCTTGGACGGTACACTACCGCTTACAATTACTACAGGAATGAGAAAGTTTGATCCATGCGCACCCACTGGATTCTGCTCGGTCATTTCTCCCCAAACTATTTTATGATCCAAATTAGCAGAAATCGTCTTAAAACCGTTGTAAAATTTCACAAGACAGATATGTACAAGTCAGCACTTTAGCTCGCCTTCAAAAGCTCGGTTTTGTAGGCAGCTTTTTCTCCTTCTACCTCCTCCTAACTTCGACTAGACCGAGTATAAAAGGTCTGCACAGTTTGGGATGCTTTACTTAGTGTTAACTAGGCCATATTAAAGTGAATTTCGATATGGAACTTCCAGAGAGTTCACGGCGATGTCGCCTCAATTGTTAATGGCATGTATTTGGTGCACGGCAGCAAAATCGAGCCGTTTGCAGATATCATTCATAATCCTTTTGTTGTGATGGGTTGCAAGAACCTCCCGCACCTGACGTGAATGAGCCTTCTCTAAACCGTAGAGATGTCACAAAGAGGTCGTTAAAAATATCAGGGTTCCTCCTTTGGCACCAGTGTATTGCCAAAAACTTCCAACAGGGCAAAAAGGCCTCAATTTAAACGGAAACCATGCATTCTGGGAAGAGAAGAAGGGATTAGATCTTGACCTGACTCGAAGACCAATCAAGCGCTTAGATATTAAGTCATCACACAATGAAGACATAATAGAGAAGGCATTAGGTTATTTTGTGTAAGTTAGTCAACCTTATAAACTTTAAAATGTTAATAAGGAAGCAAATAGAGCTTTGGTTAAAAATTCTAATCTGTTCAAGTTTGTTGAAGAGTGCTGAAAGAGTTGCCGCACGCGAACTAGCTGCGAGCGCTCAAAATCACAAGAGGTGTAAATAATTTTGATAAAATAAATGACGCTTTTTATCTGCTATTTATTATTCGTGGTCTTCTTTAATGCCCGGTTTTTTTGAAGCTGGCTGGTGGACTCTCGTCGGGCAATGGTCGCCATCGAATCTGATGCGATTGAAAAAGTTTCAAGTAGTGAATCCGAGTCGTTGAAGAGTGACGCCCATGGAGTTGACACGGTCGATATTTTGGGGAATGGTTTGGTGGAAAAAAAGGTTTCTTTTCCCCTTTCATTGATTATTTTACATATTCTAACTTGAGGCAGACACCCTTGGGTTATAGCTTTCATACTGTCCTTGTGCTACTTCCTCCGCCTAGTTTGCTCTGTTTTCATGTGGTTCGGGAAGATGGAGGGGATAGCAGTTGGTTTTAACTTGTTTTAGATTGTTGTAGAATACTTCTTTTTTAAAGGTTCTTAAGAAGGGTTTGGGACAAGATAGTCGTCCTGCTCATGGTGACTCTGTCGTGATAAGTTATAAAGGGTGGTTGGAAGATGGGACACTCGTCGAAGAAGCTGAGAATTTGACCATCGTTATAGGGGACGGTGAATGTGTGCATGGTATGCGTCCTATTTCTGATTTATTCTGGCTCGTACTGAGTAGCACTCGAACTTGCTCTTCCTCTTGCTGAATTGAAAGAAGTATTTGAAGTCAGAACTGATGCTCGTTTTGCGTACGGCGACATGGGAAGGTAAGAAAAGATACGATTTTTCCGTTCTCCTATGTGCATGTTTACTTCACTGAGTCCTGGTCCTTTTGTGCTCAGGATGCCCGATATTCCTGGAAGAGCAAAACTCATTTACCGTGTAACTCTAGATGAATGCGGAGATCCCCCATGCTACGAAACTATGCCGATTGAGGAACGCTTTCATATATCCAACAGAAAACGCGAACGCGGGAACTTCTATTTCCAGTAGGCTGCTTGGTTTTCACTCTTATCTGGCTGTTTCGTCCGTTTTGCTTTTAAAGTCGAAACGAATATCAATATGCCTTAACCTGCTACACAAAGGGGGTGGAGATCCTGCTGAAGAAGTCTCAAACGCCATCTGTGTGCTCCATTGAGTCTCCTCTCGATTCCTCCTCTGCCTCCTTCCAATCCAAGGATTTGGAAATAAAATTAAAAAATAACGTTGCTGCCACACAGCTCAAGGTGAATCTTCAAGTTTATCTATTATTTTGTGACTATTTGGTGTAGCACTACTTGCACTTTGTTGGTCTTATAGTAGACGCTAGGCAGGCGTAAGGTATTTGTCTTGTCATATTACACGCGCAACAGTTAGCTAGTTCTATCTACTTATCGGGATCTTTGTCATTTCACTTGATAGCTTGAAGCCTTTGCTGCTGCTGCTAAGACTTGTGATAGCGTCCTTCAGCTCGATCCCACTAATCGCAAGGCTCTATATCGGAAAGGCCAGGCAAGTTGGTTTTGCTACTTTTGTTAGTACGACCAGAAATGTCATAAGCTGTCGGTTAATGCAGATTGAAAGCATTTCTGATTTTTCTAGCTTTATAATCGTTTTGACTCCTGACTCGAAGTCAACCTTTCTCCGATACCTACTTAATTCAATTGGTTGACAGACAACGTAGCGAGATTCATGTATTGACAGCTTTGGGCACAGTTTATAAACATCATTACCCCCAGTTTATTTGAACGGGGTAAGTTTGTAGTTTTGGTGGATGTTACTGTTTTTCCCGGTCCCCAGGCTCTGTTCCGGTTCAGTAGGTTTTTTATTTTTTAAAAGCTGTATTGCGTGTTGTTAATAAGATTTTGTCTTACCGTTTCTGCCCACTGCAGCAAGGGGTTTGCGAAAATTCAGGACTCCTAACTTTGAAGTGCGATTTATGGATCAAACTACCTTGACTATCGATATTCACACACAGAAGTGCTTCTGATAGGTTTCATCATTAAATAGGCGAGTGTGATGGCAGTTCTCTGCTTTTCAAAGGCGATCATCAGTATTGTCCATTTGACCCTTTATTACATGCTGTTTTTGAAAAGTGTGAGTGCGTTAATTTGGGAGTCCATGATTCTGAAGCTCACCACACAGGTTGACCTCTTGCGATTTAAAGCGACATTTGTAAGAAAATCCTTTGAAAGAATTCATTCTGAGTATTTATGAATACTTGAAGATCCTATAATTCCCAAGTTATGCAAGAGTATGGTCACTTTGTTGCATCATTTGGCTGCAAAGGGAGGAGTTTTTATTTGGGTTGAATAATTTCTTTAGGCATTGTTCGGAATGGGTGACTTTCCCGAAGCGATGCAGGCCTACGAGGAGGCTCTTAGTTTGGATCCTTCCTCTCCCCTCCTGCGGCAGTCACTGAATAGAGCCAAAATGGCTTGGAAGAGTCAGCGAGATCGCCAGATTCGAGCTCTTTCCCGTGCCTTCAGAGTGAATGGGAGAGAAGGGAACAAAGCACCCAACTTCCGTGATAGACTGAAAGGAATTGTAAGTGCCCATCCTTCTAGGACAGCTATCATCTTGACTAGGCCAGAGGTTCGATGCAAGTGCGAACCTTTGGGCAAATTCAGAGGTGAGAGAGTTCAATCATTGTAACGCCGCTACACATATTCGTAGTACAACGCAGGTTCGCACTGGGAACCGAAGGCTTTCCACGTACCATACGGGTATTGCCATTCATATGTCCTTTACCAAATCAACTCCCAGGCTGAAGTGTTTTTTAAATTTGTTTCATTATGAATGAGTCCAAACGCCTTGTTCGCGCTTCGTTTAACTCTTAATCATGCTAAAATCCTTTTTAGTTATCTCGGTACAAGATAGCTATTTCTGCTGTCGCATTGGCCGGCCTTTCTGTGATGATTGGAGGAACCCTCCTGCGTTTCATTGAACAAAAGTAGCTCTCACTTTGCCGTGCGTCTTCTTATCTAGTGTCCCAACCTTCATTCCACTCCAGTATGAAACAGTTTCATATCCTCACTGTGATTTATCCATTAAACGTGCTGATGTGAGAGGGTATAGTGGTTATGGAGGACTCAGGAGTCGATGAGACTAATGGCCGGTGTTTAGACTTTTGGGGTTTTAACTTCGGTTACCACAACGTGACAACGAAGTGACAGTTGAGGTAGATTATTCGGGTTTTGGTTGCGAAATGGCATGGCAATGAGTGTTTCTATATGAAGAGTTAATTAAATGTGTTTTTACCTAGTTTTATCGAAGATTCAATTTCGAGGGGGTTAAGTTGGTCTTGCATAATTCATGGGATGCAAGTGAAGGAGGCGGGTCAAAGTCATTTAAGGTCAATGATTTAATGGCTCGTAACCAAGTAAGTCAAAGAATAGTAAGAACAGCTATCGCAGGAAGTGAAACAGTAGATGTTTTTCTTCAAATTGGACTATCCTAAAGGTTGCAATGATCCACATTGGATGTTGGGATTCAACAGACGAAAGTTATCGGTGCTGCCTCTGTCAGCATAAGTGCTGGCGTTCATTAGTGGCCGTGCATTAATCCCAGATGGATATGCGCCATTGTCGTCGCCCATCACCTGAGGTGAACGTGACATACCACAGCACCGTTGACTCCACTGGTTTTGCTGCTGGCAAATTCTCTGATGTGTTTGCGCCTCTTCAAACTTGCAATATGTAACTGAGAAGTCCGGCACTGATGACTGTGAATCAGCGAGCTTTAGCTGAACAATCCAAGTGCACAGACTGAAAATGGTCGCTCATGACATTAAAATGAACCGACATAGACAATGATGGTCTTGACTTCCACAAGGTAAAGTGCTAAGTTAGGAGCTACACGAATATGTATGGCCATAGTTGAGGTTGTTTAGTTGTGATGGCTTACCTGAGCAAAACTGTCAGTCAAACCGTCACCTCGCATTTGAAGTCGTTCTTGTTGTAAGACAACGCACGAAGCGTCGTGGGGATGTTTGCGTTTATTTGAATCATTCCATTCGCCACCACTAAAGGTGTTGTCCCAGTTGCTCCCTTCCTGAAATAACGCGAAGGTGCTCAATGAAATGCCGGTTGGCTGTTTGCATGTCTGAGGAAGATGCGGTACGGCTGCGGGGGTTATTGGTCTTTCTGTAGGAGCTTCTCCCTTGTGACCATCGCCAATGCCCTCACCAACGGGAGTAGGAGAAGAAAGCGATCCGGTGACATTGGAGGCAGTTGTAACAGTGTCATTCTGATTGCACAACTCTGTGGCCATGGGACGGGGTCGCGCACCAACGCCTGTTGGCTGCCGGAGACCCAGCACTTGCTCTTCTGCTGACAGGACTGCCACAATAGTTGAAAGGAGAGCCTGAAAGCCATATTAGTGCAATCAATCGGACGCATTTACGTATCCGAGGGCACAATAGTGGTGTTTACGTTTAAAATAGGATTACTATCATAATTTAAACAAATATGCAGGGCATTACGCAAGGTCCAATTGGAGCAATGATTAAAACGATACTTTTGTGAGGTATGGCAATCATTTGTTCATGTAATTTTGTGCTAATAAGAAAGTACTGCCCATTGCATGATTATTTTTGGACCAAATTGTTTACTTAGTAAAAAGTACCAATGGTAAGTCCTTAAGCATAGTCAAACCTAAAAAGAAGGATTATTTCTGATAGACATGAAATTCACCTCATCCTGCTGCTGAGACGGCTTGCCGGGGTTCCTCAAACGACGTAGTAACAATGAATTCCATTTTTGTCTGAGATCGCTTATCAACCGAGCCACTTCCAGTTCACATTCATAGGCGAGGATGCCATTCGGTCCATCAAGACGCAGCACAACAGTGTGCTTAGGTGGAGTTCTTTCTTTCACAGACTGGTGCTCCACTAACATTGCCTCTTGTATCTTCATAATACTGCCTTCAGATTGACGTAATCCTAAGGCTTCGAGACGAGGAACCTCTGTGTTAAAGTTTTTTAAAATACGCTCTATATCCGCCATTGTAAGTGGTTGGTCTTTCTGTAATCGACTTCTGTTGCTGAGAAACTCGTAGTTCGACTGTCGAGAATCCAAAGCTAAAAAGTTTCACAAGTTTAATGGAGCAAACGATGTCTCAACCAAAGCGATGGCGCTGGCAAATAATTTAATTGACTTAGACAGAGAACTGGTAGTAGTGAGACGACCCTAGCGCATCACTGATAAGTAGACTTCAAGTGAGACTAACTATCCTCCTCTCTGAAGACGTTCGTTGGTCTAATCAGTCTTTATGCGCATTCAACCAACTTCTCCCAACGCCTTATTTGAGTCTTTTCGTTCGACACCTATTATCCGCCAGTTATACCCATAGTTAAATTTGAAAGCAGCCTATGAAGTAAAGCTGAGCTGATTCATTGTATCCAAAAGCCAGTGAGTAAGAAAATTATCCAAGTTGGATGCGTTAAAGAGGCAACGACCCGGAGTTAAGCTAAGGCATGATGGAAATAGGTCTAAACTAAAACATTTGGAGGAAGAGGATTGCATTGAATATAGTGCAACGTGGATAAAATAAGTGGTGAAGTTATGATGTTGCAGTGCTATAAACTACGGTGATCTAAGATGCTGTCTTACTGAAATCCCCGGTCGGAGTGCAAATAATAGGCGAGCGCACAGGTCCAGCAAGTAAAGCAGTTGTAAAGGGCGAGACAACTGTTGCACAATGGAGCAACTTTCTTTCTGATTCCATGTACGTATTTTGCCGATGAGTGCGCCTTCTCCCTCCGGCACAACTTCTCCTGTTTGAGTTGCTTTGGTGTCCATCCAGTTCACCTACTGGACACTGACCAATTAACTTGTCATAAACTAGCCAATGAGAAGGGAGTTGCTTCAGGTCTACCGGGGAGCTATCGGTAAGATTTGTTGCCAGCACTGATAGGGGGCTTGGGTGTACCTACGATTTAAGGAGACAGATTACAAGTGAAATCAGGCATGTAGAATATAAGGAAGTATAGTTTAAACACGTAATTAAGGTCCACAAATGTACTGAAGAGCATGCTGCCAAAAGGTTACCAATGAAGTAAGCCTTTTGTAATGAATACAGCACTACCCTTTCAAATACAATTATGGATAGAGAGGATGAATTGCATTAAAATGGTGCAAAAAGTTCATTTAGCATTGAAAAGAAAGTGGTAGAGACAGTTTACATTACCCAATAGGGAGTTTTAGAGGCTCTCACTTCCGAAGCATTGCGAGATGACGCAGAAACTATGAGGTTGCCTGATTTCGAGTCAACTTGTGCCAGGTTGTCGTACATGCCTGCAACCAAAGCGGCCTTGACAACTGCCCAGTTTTCAGAGTGTGTGTTGAGGTCGCGAATGTCTCCGCTTCCGCGTGCCTTCACAAACCCTGAGGCTCGCAACTGACCTAGCAATTGAGTTCTGCAAGAACAAGGTCTTAGTACATTGTTTTTATTCTCATTAGAGGTCAGAAATACCCATATGAATGCCAGATACGTATTGAGCATTGAAAACAAAAGGAAAGACCACCTCACAGTTGTGACGATATCGAAAACGGCTGCTGAAATGTAGTTTTTGCGACAGAAGCTCTGTTCCCATCCCTCGAATCTAGCCTTTTGCCAGAACTGGAATGTCCAAAAAATATTCTGTTGGAGTTTCACTTGCGATACGCTAGCAATAAATCAACAAAAGGCACATTCAGATCTAGGATGAAGGCATGAGAAATCCTAATTACGTGCCTGGAAAGCTCGCAGCAGAACCATGTGATCACTAAGGGAGTCTGCGGAAAACTTTCTTCGTACAATTTGTGCCTCTTTGCGCTCCTTGGCGGTGCTTGGCAGAGTAACTAAAAAATAACCTTTGTCGGTTCTACGAATTAATGCGAACTTGTGTCAAATGATGCAGTTAAGCGGCTATCTGCAAGTCATTAGGGGAGCAAAGTTGAAACCTGTTGTGATTTTTGCTCTTGAAAGACAAAGAGGTTGATAGTAACTTTAGCCACATTAGATCGCCAACAACTGTACCCAAATTTGTACATATAAGTAAGCTTAAATACGCTTAGTTTGGGGCGGTTAGACGAAAGCCTAGCCAGCATGTGTATTTTTAAGTGAAAAGCAGCTCAAACATTGAAGTGAATAAATTAACGTACAGGGATTTTCACTGGCCAAGATGCACGCAATGGTAAGAATGGGATCAACACACTTCAGCGCAATGCTCACAAGGACCATTTTCGAATATCTGGGTGGAAGTGGGAGATCGCACATGTGCGAGCCCAGTTCGGTCAGGTCGCCGGAGCTGTCCATCGCATCAATGACCTGGAGTGGATCGAAATGGCATTAGAGGACGTTGCACCATTAATAGACCGAATCACTGGCTAACAGTTACACGCAAACTCCGAATGCTCTGGTTCAATGCAAGAGGGTCAAGTGCGCAGGGCAGTGACTGGAAGCAAGAGTTCAAATTTTCTCCAGGAGGACTAAGCAACTTAGCATGAAGACAAACCTCCTAGAAGAAAAAAAGGAGTGAGAAGCATTAACACTTTTTTTATTGCTCTTCTTAAGAAAGCATTGTTGAGTTCATGAAATACTTTACACTTTACGAGTATTTTAAAACGCATTTCTAACTTGTCCGGTAGGCAAACCTCTCCAAAACTGCTGTAAGTAGAAAAATAGCTCGGTGTTGATATAAAGCGCTGGTCTATCTTTTGATACGGTACAAAATGCTAAACTCTAGTCCATTTCTAAATCTGATCAACACGAGCTAATAAACAATGAGCAAGAAAGCAGTACAGTGTTGGCGACAAGTGTTTGTAAGATGAACAGCTGGTAATATTAAGGGCAATAATACGGCTATGCTTGCCTCCATGCCATAGCACACAGTTGGACAGCGAGTTGAATCTACGACAGTTTCGAAAGAAGTTAGTCGAAGCCTACTGTAGAGATGGAAGCATTTCGGCTCTCGTCCCATTTGTGCACTGAAAAGTTCAATTAATTTCATGATGATTTGCAATCGGATAGCAGCGTGGGCTAAGCAGTCGGAATTTACACGTATTGGCGTTGAATGGCGCTGTTGTAGCTAATCCAACGATTCTGACTTATTAGGGCGCCAGTATTAGGATCCTCTTCTTTCTAAAAGCGTTCTCTTGACACACCACCTTACCTTTCTGACAAGACCTGTATCAATGACGTAAGCGATGTCACTAATCGCTACACTACTCTCAGCGATCTCTGTTGCCAGGATCTACAGTAAGCAAAAATCTACACAATAACTAACTTACTATTTTGCGAACACCAGTAGGAGGCTGCATAAATATTTGCTTCAGGTCTGCTACAAGCATACGAGAATGCAAAACGAATATCCATCGTTGTCTTAAATGTTGAAAAATTTGGATCAAAACAATGCCAGTCATCAAACACAGAAATATGGTAGGTTACCTTTTTGAATCCTTAGCCATAGTGGTAGAAGCAATTAGATATTCCTTTAATGTTACGATCGCTTCATATGAGGGCAGAAAAACGAGAATCCCACCTTTGTAATGCTAGTTGAGCTAAATGAGGAAGAGCCAACCTGGTGCCAGAGCAGAATCCACCTTAGAAATGAGCTGAACAAGGAGTTCAAAATCAACTGTTGACCCAGATCCAACCCAGTTCCGAGCCACTTGATAAAACCTGTGCTTCATCAATCCACTAAAATGCTGTTCAACCCAATTACTGTAATTTCGTTCAAGTGCCGAACTCCTTGCCGGTTGCAAGAGATTTGGCATACGAACCATTGGATTAGCAAACCAACATCCGAAGCGCAGCAGGTTACCTTCCCAATCGTCCAGTGGATGGTCGAGAGAACGAGCAGCCCTGTAAAATTAAACACTACGTTGGATTAGTTATTGTTTGAAATACTCAATCAACAAGTACATTCAAAATAAGTTAACAGCTTTCTATTACCCACCAATGTAACGCAATACTTTGCTGCTCCTATCACATAATATATCAACATCAGGAGGAGTACAAAAAAGCTTTTAGCATAGTAAATGACGAAGCGAAATCAGTTTTAAGCAAAAGATGATTGGGGCATCGAAAAGGTGCGTCGAGGTGACACTTGCATGTGTGCTTTGAGGAGGTCAGCGACGAGTGCGTGACCGTAGAGACGGGCAAGATCGAAGGCGTTGGCACCAATCATGGAGAGGTGGTGCAACGAGTGGTGAGTGGGTGCGGCGCGGTCAGTGCCTAGGGTAACCAGGTCTGGAGGCAGGGCCGCCCTCGGGAGCGGTACCCGCTCAAACACATCTGCACCCAGATGTAGCAGCCGCTCCACTACTTCCAAGAGACCCGCCGCCGAGAATAGCATCAATGGGGTTATGCCTGCCAAAGAGGCGTAATTAAATACAAACCAAATGTTTTGCAGAGAGAATAATCATGGTTTTGGCAATAGCATTTTATATTAAAATGGTATGGCATGGTATGCTTCTTTGAAAAGAGCAAAAGGAAGTAGGTGACAGTAACTCGACGCCGCCTAACTGAACACAGTGTCTGAATTTCGATGATCTTGTGGTAAAGGGGACCTAATTTAGTGTTATGCTAAACAATAATGTTTGTGTGAAAGGTACACAACGTGGGTGAGTATGTAAATTCATAACAGGTTAAGTAGGAGAATAAAGGTACCAAAACTTTAGATAATTTCAATTACATCGAAAGCCCCAAGAAGAAGAAAACTTTACTTCCCTTGTGAACGTACTATTATTAGCATTATTTTTATCAGTCTAATGAACTTTATCGAATTTTGCCGAACTTATACAAGAAGAGTGGTTTAGGGATCTGCAATTGAACTGACGGATTTCGAAGCATAAAGCATACTTAGTTTATGTATGCATTGTATTATACAAAGGAAAGTTAAGAATTTGCAGACCTGTCTCAGAGTGTTTGTAGTCAACAGGAATCCACTCAACTGAGATTGACTGAAGTAAATCAGAAATGAGTGGTTGCACCTCCATTTGGGATAGGCACTCCTGTTACATCAAAACACATAAACTGCTGGCTCATCGACACAATGCACGATTTTTTTATTCAAAGAACGACAACAACTCCGTACACGGGCTTTGGGAGAGAAAAACAGAAACACAGATGTGTTCATTATAAGTTATCACTTGGAAATCAAGGCAAAATACCTGATTAATGTTACGGCAAACACTCCGAAGAACAAGATTTTCCCATAAGATCCAAATTAAATTTTCAACGTTTCGGTAAGTTGTTGATGTTGAGATATCGAGTGACTCCTTTAAGAATAAGTTTAATGCACTGATGAAGTTAAAGTAATTCAAACTACCAGAGACTGTTCATTGTCAGTGGTCGGAAATTCATGAAATCCGCAGAGGGTCAATGGACATTCTGATGCACCCGTCAACCAAAAGTACATCTTATAAACCCTAGTGGCATCTATTCAAAAGGTCTGTGACTAAGAATAGATTAACTGTGCTTCACACAAAATGATGTTAAACTAATACCTCTCCGGATAATGCGCTTTGCTGTTTCCATTTCAGGTGCGTTGAAATTTAACCACTGCAGAACATCTTCCAAGAAGAAAATTTCGTTCGACCTCGGCTCGGTTTTCACTTTAAAGAAAGTGAAAAATCAACAAGGGCTAAGACATCATTTCTGAGACAGAAGATCAACCATAATGAGAGCAAGGTAAATAACCAGAGCAATGCAAAACGACGTCTAAAACTTACAGCAATACATAGAAGCGGAGCGATACTGCGACGCAAGCAGAAAGTTATTCGTCAAATATGAGCGCTTTGAAGTTTTCTCAAGAAACAATGGCAGGTGCATTTGTAAAATGGGTTCCTCTATGTCTATGCATGCTTTTACCTGGTCGCAGTCCTAGTAGTTAAACGATGGAAGGTATAAAATATTCAAACCTCTGCGTTTAGGGATAATTGAAGATAATGCCCATTGGAAGAAATGCAGGAGGTTGATTTCAAGTTAACAATTAAAATAAGCCTAAGGTGGGGATATTGTGCAAGAATGCGGTGCAGAGTGCCGAGTAAGAGATTGCAAGTGTGCTTGCTTGTGTCCCGAGTTATTGGCAGCCGAACCTCTCGGCCCTCGGCGGTAAGTTTGCGTGAAAACAGATCCTCCTCGTCAATCTCATCAACGAGGATGTGTGTGGTGGCATTGAGGAAAGTAGGATCGGCGAATATTGTACGCAGCAAAACACCATGTGTACAAAAGGTGAGTACTGTTTTAGGAGAAACTCTAAACCAAAAGCACAAAATCTTTTTGCTAGTTTTATAATGCAGCATTACAAAATTGATGCAATTACATTTGAATGGTAATAACCAGTAAACCGAATTTATTTAAAGTACAGTAAATGAAAATTGAACAACCATAGCTTGGAGCAATAATTTCCAACATTCCTCCAGATGAAAGTAAAGATGTAACGCATACATGGACAGTTGATCTCTAATCCGAGAAACTGTTAGAGCATTACCGCATATTCATGGTGTTTTGATTTGATCAAAAAGGGCTTTAGGAGAAATTACTTTGATTCTAGTCTAATTTGGTAGCCAACCGATTGGCCGACGATTTCGCTGCGTTCGTGAGCAACACGATCAGCGTTTGCGTGAGCAGAAAGGCGGCACGGCTGCGTGCAAATTATGCGACATCGCTGCGAATGCGCATGACAATCTTCAAGTAGAATCTAATAATTACAGAGGAAAGAGAAAAGTACTAGATACTGTAGTAGGCGCAACGACTAACATTAGTCCATTCTTTCATTTAACTAAAACACTTCCGTAGTAGTTAACAAATATATAAAACAAAGCTATACTATTCTTGAAAGAAAGCGAGCTGGAAAGATAAACAATGGGTTTATCATTATAACACTTTCAACTAAATAGTAACAGCGATGGATTAGCTCAAATCATACCATTACAGCAGTGTAGAATTTTGTGGTACATACAACGGCGACAATTAAAACAGGCAATTGTTATGACTGAGAGAAAGCTTTAGTACTCAAATTGCCAATACTCGTATTGACCAAACCGTGGATGTTGAAACCAATTTACAACCAACCTGAGGTATTTGCGTTGACTTTCCACATCCTTGGTGGCTGGCGACAACTACCACCCGGTTTTCATTTACAAGCTTAACTAGCTGCGATTGTTCTTTCCTAATTGGCAACATGATATAGCCTGCTTCCTTTTTTGAGCATAAGCTACCATTTGGCCGCTCCTGCAAAGAGGTGAAGGGCCCACAGGGAACCTGGGGCACAGCACCCATCAGCCGCCCAGTCATGCATCTTTGACGTTCCTCCCGCGAACCTCGCAAAATAAAACTTAAGTAACTTATGAACAAACTACTCAGAATGCAAAAGTTCAAAGCATCTTTCCCATTCGACTAACTATTGCTATTGACAAACTAATAGATATACGAGCAAAAGCGCTAGCTAGTTGGCTAGAAATTATGCCAATGTTTGTACCTAGTTCATAATTTCTATCAAAATTTGGTGCCAGAATCTCCAGCTCTTTGAGTGTCAGGGGGTTACTTTGGAGAAAAGTCGCAATGATATTTTTACAGTTTCGTGACAAGAACAAAAGAGCCGTTTCCTTTGTAGTTTGTGAAAGCAGCCTTCCCATAGAAGTTTCTCGGTTCGAAGAGCTCCTAAAAATAGAGGTAAGCAAAAACAGCCACCAAAAAGGTGGACAACATGCATTGCTTTTGCAATCTTGTCGCGCTAAATAAGTCAAAAAAATAATTTGAATTGAGTGCTTGGAAGCGGTAGCATAAAACAGTCAAAATCATATTTAATAAAGAGGTTTCAAACCTCCTCTTTAGTTGCCTATAAACAAATATATATGTGCATGGAATAACTACCGAAATAACAAAGAAAGCAACCTTTAATCGGCTAAATTTCAAAATAATTAAAAGCACCAAAAGCATTACATTTAAAAGTCGGATCGCACAAAATTCGATATATTACAAATAAGTTAACATATTTTATCTAAAACTTACATAGACGCTACAATGAACCGAATCAATGCGCGGTCTGCAGCAGACAGTTTTGCAAAAAAAACCAGATTCTGCAAGTTTTGACCATAGGAAAAATCATCAACGGCAGGGATTATTGTTCGCCTCAATGACTCTCCAGTCTCTTCTTTGCTTGTGAGTAGGGGCAGAGAAAAAGGTAAATTTGCTTAGGTTTAAAAGTAACGTTAAGTTACAACATACCCATTTTAATCTACATCAATTCACGATAATTGGATATCGATGGGACTCTTTGCGGTATGCACAGGAGGGGTAAATAAACAAAATCAATTATTGTTCATTTTACTTAGGACCTCAAATTTTATTAGCTAATGGTCAAAGATTCTTTCTAATTTCATTAGCGGTGGTTTATTAGCTTTTGCAAAGGGTATCTTATACAAGTGAAACATGCAAATGGATTTGTATATCAATCTAATATAAGCCTTCAAAATCCTTAGTGTTCACTAAAGTTAACTAGCCTTAGCTGCTTTTTATCTATCCTGTGCGACGCTTGACGACATGTATGCCAACCTCAAGCCCCTACTCCCCGGACAAACGTCCACTGAACCGACAGATGTAATCACATCACCCACCCACAGCTGTCATCTACACTTCATGCCTAACCTTTTGTCCTTAATGATTCAGAGCACGGACCTGGAGGATGCACAGTAAGACTGCTAGCAAACAGAAAAATGGCAGCCCGCGATTCCGACACGGCAGCACCAGCATCCAGAAACATGCCCGCGCGCTAATCGTGTCTTGTTCGCCGTCCGTGAGGAAACGGAGATTGCGCACACAATGTACCCCCAAAACCTAGCAGGTGTAAACCAGACCATACTTCTGATATAGAGACAAGATCTCAGCGGTGAGGATTCAAACCGACCCGTAGGGGTGTAGCATATTTAAACTGATAGGACACTCCACTCAGACCGATACGCACTGCCGGATGCCTCACTGCCACCCTCGCCGCAGACCGATCCTGCCAATTCTAGATGTACAGCACTCATCTACCAAGTTAAAGACGACAACCGACGAGGAATCAGCACGAACCTCATGTACCTCAACGCTGCAGAACTGGCCCCAAGGCGCCCACATCCCTTAAAAAAATGGACACAATAGCTATTCAAAGCGACCCAACAAACCAACCATGGACTGGGAGCAGCCCATAGCTGCCCTGAAGGAGCCAAACTTGAACGATAAAGATAAAAAGGCCACTTGCACCACCATTCAAAGACGAACAATAATATACAGGAATTGACAAAAATTAACTAGAGTCATCTTCATCACTGATTCGGGCCTTTTTGCGTCTTGGGGCATCGGAAAGCTTAAGAAAAAAATTGCTACGATAAGGATAGAAAACATTAAGTTCCCAAGAGCGTCATGTGTGTACGTCCATATGAGCCAAAGTGAACAAAAAACCTATATGCATATAGGCTAAATAAGTAGACTTTTCCTTATTATTCGAAAAAATTAATTCTCAGAACCCATCTCTGCGACAATATACAATCTTAAATCAATAATGCGGCAAAATAAACGATAAATTTGAGAACACTGAGTTCCAAAAATGGATTAAGTAAATAATTAAGCAACAACTTACATCACTGACGGAGGCGTCATCCGAATCCGAAACAGAACGACCTACCATAAGCAAATGTTGTGTACTAGAGAAACAATCCATCAATAACAAGCGTTACTGTACAGTGAGAAAACCCACCCGATCGATCGTTCCAAAGCTGTTTAAACAGGCTATGAAATAAGGAAACGAAGACAAGCTACACTCACCCCTATTTTTCTGTGAAGACGAGAGGAAACCAGCTTTGGCATTTCTTTTGATTGCGCTCAGCGACACGGTATTGTCAGCGTCGCTGTCACCGAAGCTCTCATAGCCGGAGGGGCCAGGAACAGATCGACGCTGGCGATGTGCCGAGGCAGCCGCAAGCTGACGTTCCTGCATTCGCCGCTGCTGACTCTCACGACGTAGTGCTACGCGAAGCCGCTCCTCCTCCTTGCGTACTGCCAGACTCCGATTAGACTCCGGGTCTGCGCCTGCAACGGGCAGAATCTTCACCTGCAAATATACACACAAGCAGAATCAAAGATTAAGAGGCCAACGGAAAGAATTGCCACCAATGGATAAAACCCAACAAACCAGTCCAAGATCATCCCAAACCAATGCAATCAAGATATCAACCATACCTTTTGCGACTTGCTGGTTTTATCAGCAAGGGATAGAGTCATCTTGCGATGAGTGAACGAATCAGTTGAATGAGGTCTATGAAGAAAGGTGCAAGTAAATAGAAGTAGGAGTTAACGTGGACACAAAATCAGCAAGTGGTGCCAGCAAGAGTACCTAAAACTAAGTTTACTCCGAAAAATTGCTTGACCCTGGAGACCTCTATCCTCCCTGATGAAGAGATGATTAAAATCAGACTGAATATCCATTTTGTGAACGTCAAAGATTTCATCACCAAGATGTAGGGACAACGACCCATCGGACCATCGCACTATCCGGGCGTTAGATTCCTGAGTGACGTTATTGTTTGCATTTTTGCTAAGGCGCCAACGAATCGTATTTTCAACCTAAGACAGGATATAAGCTACATTACAAACACAAACCTTTAGTTTGAGTCTTGTGCGGCCCTCTTCATCAAGGATCTCATCTTCATCAAGCTCACCCTCGTAGAAGGAAGGATCGAATGGCCGAGTTTCAACTGACAAAAAGTTCGGCATCTTCACCAAATACATTTCTCTAATCCAAAACATAAAAATCGGGTAAGAGTGCGGAGGAATATGAAGCAATGAACAGACACCTACTTGCCAAGATCAGCACGGATGGGTGGAAAGTCAGCGGCAATACGAATCTCATCGGATTCGTCTTCCTCTGTTGCCGTTTTTCGATGGTCTCCCTGCTCATGCCCAATAAAATCAACTTCGCGGATGAAACCATCCTCTTTTGGCGAGCCCGGAATTGATTCATCAGTGGAGGTTAATAAAGATTGACCCTTGTTAGCTTCCTGCAGAGCATCATCTTCAGACTCTGATTCTGAGGAAGATGACCCCAAGATATCTTTTGTGGTAACAGCAGTACTAGGAGCATTAGGCGGTGACGTCCTCTACTGAATATGTCATACAGAAAACATACTGTGCAAGAATTCTCCCGTTTGCCATTCGACGAAACACCAGCAGCTCCCTCGTGAGGCCCAGGCAGAACAACTTCCGAGTTATCGCTTTCTGATAGATTAGTCAGCAAAAAAACACTTACCAGTATCACTTCCAAATATGTCCCGGTGATTAACATGAGAATGTGTGGAATGTGAATCATCACTAGACCTACTTCCAGCACCTAATAAAAAATTTTGAAGGGGAAAGTCGGACTTGCCCTTCTCACATGGCGAAACTAAAGATCCCGATGGAGACGATACACCCGACATTGCTCAAGACTCGCATAGCCCGCTTCTCCAGTTACCGGGATAAAACAGAAGACTAACAGAAGTATTGAAATTACCAAACACAAAATACAAAGAGCCACAATATATAGCCCCATTTGTGCAGAGAAAAGCCTAACAAACCAATGTTTAACTCAGTAAATTTTCTTCGTTGCCATAGTTCCTAGAAATTGTGTACGCGGCCACCTGATGGTTTGCAGGCAATTTGGGATTCGTCTTGATTTTGTGCTCTTTTTTCTAGCCTTTTCATTAGGCCAAATTCCTAGCTCTTCTTTTATTCTTCTGTACATGCATCCACCTCACCTCGGTAGAATTTGTCTTTGCCACCTACGTCCCGATCTACTCTCTCGTCCCGAGGCTTCCCACTGGTTGGAAGAAAGCACCAACTTAATCTGAAACCATGGCTCAAGAAAAAGGAAGAATTATTTCCTGGCTTAGTCCGAAGGCTAGCCCGCGCAAATAAAACTAGGCAAACACCAAAGATAACGCCAGACATAAGGGAGTCTCGAAAAACAAAAGCAGAAACCCATCTTCACAGAACAATTATCTAAGACTCATATACTCATGACTCTCCATAGCGTTTGTGTTTGGAGGAAGATAATTGTGTTAAGCTTTGCCTTGGCGCTAAATGCCGCCCACGCAACAAGTGCAAAACCGAAAGGAACCAACAGCAATAAGGGCAGTTAGAATTCTATCTACACAAAAAGCTAAAAGATAACTTTATTTTGGAAGGGTAAGATGACGACCCTCCAAAGGGTAATGATCCTAATAAAGTGTTAAGAAGACGAATGCCAAGGTTACTGCCGGACATGGAACTAGTCGAATGACTGAGGCATTACAAGGAGCAAGTACTAGCTGGTGAAAGGATGCCTAAGACACACGATCCGCAAATATCCCATATAGAGCATTACTAAAGGTCCATTAATCATGTCCACGCTTTAATGCACTTGTGTTTGTAGTATTCCGAAACTTCCCTCCGGGTATAAGAAGGCATAGAGCAGAGCTGAACGCATATATTCTAATGAGAGCCGAACGAATCCCAAAGAAACCACCAGAGTTCAGATGATCCCCTAAACAAAGCATCACGGCTGCAATGCTTTGTTTATGCAATTACCTGACGTTCGGCGATCAACTTCGTGGGTTGGCATTCAGACCATGCTCAGGCCTATTTGCTCTGTCCTTTTCGAAATACATGTGTCCAACCTTAGTTACTGCATTCTTTCACCTTATGAGAAGTCTCGGGACGCTACAATGGTGGCAGCAGAAAGCCACTAATGACCTCTTTCCTAGCTGCACCGTGTGTTGCATTCATCTACGGTGTAAAAGAGACGCATTTGCATCGGTGGCGGAAAATCTCAGATTCCTTCATATCGAAAGGGTTGAGACAGACGTCTGCATTTGGTTTCATTTTATCCCCCTGTTGCACAAGCAAGCTATTAACAACTGGAGCGACACCGCCGTGAACCATTTGGAGAAGTTTCGTGTCCGAAGCGACACTACGATTCTCCTTACATACGGGACAGTGGCTCATCCAGTTTTCCCTGTAATATATCAGTTTCAGACCAGAGTTGCACCGTCTATTGCTAGAAGCAAATGGTGGTCAACGGATGTATTCGGTCCCGAATCTAGTTGTCAGATCGAACGTAACTCCAGACCAAATTGAAGCTACAAAGGAGATCAAGTAAAGTTCCTCAGTTTCGTGGTAGCTGTCAACTGGCGTGTTTGGCTCGTGAGTGCTTTCATGTAGTACCGAATAGGTTGTGATGGATGGTGCGGGAAGTGTGCCAAGGGGACCACCGAGGATGTCGCTCAAAAGAAGGGAGGATTAGCGTAATGCTTTGTTCATGTGACTATCTAACGTTGGGCGGTCAATTTCTGATTTATCTTGCCCTTATTCACGTGGGCTGGCCTTCGGGCCACGCTTAGGTCGAGTTGTTTTGTCCTCTTTGGAATACATGTATCCAGCTTCGCTTACTACCTTCTGTAATGCTTTGTTTATGCGACTATCTGACGTTCGGCGGTCACTTTAGGACTTGTCTGGGCCCTGTACACGTGGGCTGGCCTATGGGTTACGCTCAGGCCCATTTCTCCTATTGCTTTCGGAATACATGTATTCAACCCCACTTATGCCTTCTACTACCCCATTGGAAGCCTCGGGACGCTACACTGGTGGCAGCGGAAAGCGAACCCGACATCTTTTTAACGACTTCTAGGTATAGGGTTGCTTTTGAAAGCGACATAGTGTGTGGGAAAATGTGTTGCCCAACAGACATCACTATCTTACTGACATCCTACGTTTACCTTTGCCAACTAGCCGACTGATTTCCGGAAAAGAACAGTACGAACAAACCCAAGAC